CATTTAATTTAGTCTTTTCAAAAACAAAATTAAAATGGATCTTGATTTCGTTAACAAAAATTACATATATTACACAAATTTGACTCCTGTGAGTGTTAAACCATGTTATCATGTTGTTATCATGAAAAACAAACTTTGAGTTGTGTTTAATTTCATTCACATGTTTGATTTATCCTGCATTATTAGTCTGTTTATGTCTCTAAAGTTCAAAATGCTCTGTTCCACCTTGCAATTTCACTAATTGGTAGTATTCAAGTGAACAGCTACTTTTTACTCTAATTCACACTACGTTTATATGATGACAGTCTGAACAGAAGACGCAAAAGTGGCGTCGCGTTTGCGTTTAGATGAGCGTTTTTGAGAGGAAATCTGCGTGCATATGGCGATGCAAAAGTGTGTGGAATTCGATTGGGTATGCATGCCGTCTGGCTCGCCTGCAACGAATTGGTTCGTCCAGACTTTGACAGAGGTAACAGCAGATCCTTCTCTGTTCACTAATAGTACCTCTGCAGATTCTGTACATTTGTTGGGATGCCTGCTGTAAGTTTATTAGTGTCAGAGTGTGTTTGTTTCTGTGTACTGTATGTATGTGACGTAAACCCGTACACGACGTGAGCAGATCTGACCAGAGTTTTGCGTCGTGGGCAGTGTAGACGGAAACACTATTAAACTTTTCCACTCTGGAGGGTGATTTCAGATTTTTGCATTTTTAAGCCGTCACCGTGTAAACGAAAGGCACTTCAGATAAAATATTTTGTCATTTTTACCTGCAAGCGTTCTTGTGTAAACAGGCCCTTAGTAGAGATTGGCAATTCCAGAGTGTTTTCTGTTTTGAGAGAAGAACTCAGCCTAAGTATGCAGCTTTTCTGTGTTAAACATGTGTGAATGAAACAAAACACAACTTCAGGTATGTTGTGATGAGGAAGAATTATAACATAGATCCTATAATAGTGCAATATGGGCCTTTTAATCTACTATTTAACACAAAAAAAATAGTAAAATTTCTTTCCCTAAAGTCTCAACTCTGCTCCAAACTGCATATTTTACTGACAGATGATTGGCTGTGGACCTCTCGATTCAAAAATAACAACCATATCTTTGCACAGCTTTACAATTTTGACATTATTTATTCTTCCCTACTCAGTGAACAGATGTTTGGATGCTTTAATATGAAACTGGTATCAGATATCGGCACTGATAATTGAAAAATTTGATATATCGGACATCGGTTTCAAGAAATCAGTCCCGAGCCCTAATATTGCTTGACATCGAGTATCAGCAGATATTTAAAACCATCGGTATCGGAAAATCCTACATTCTCCTCATGAAAAAACACATTGAATATAAACATGAGTTCTGTCTCCCTGTCTTTGCCTCTGTATCGTCACTGTCTTGTGCATATTTTCTTTTCATTCTCGACAGTAATTCCTCCATTTCCAGTCCATTAAACACCAGGGTTCTGTACTTGGAGGGTTTGATTGACAGATGCCTGCGAGTCCTTGCTGCTCGCTCAACCAAAACTACAGTTCCGAGATATCGCTTCCAAGCTCTAGTATCGCTTGATGTCGAGTATCAGCAGATATTTAAAGCCAAAGTATCGAATCAGAAAAAACTGTATCCAAGCATCCGAGTACTAACTGGGTTCAAGACCAAGAGTAGACAAGATCGAGCATTGACAAGATGGTATAGCCTAAATCTCTTGTTATTTACAGTGAAATATAACACTGTTCTATCTATTCTGTCTATCTGTTTTGAGGAATAGACTGAGCTTGATAAGATAACATTACAACAGATTTTATGCAGCATCCGTGACAACAGTAATATGACAGTGGAGTCCGCCCTCACATAGATAAATATTTTCTGTCTGCTGGACCCGGGCTGGACTTTATTATCAAGCATCGCTGTCTGACCCTCGCCATATTTCACTGTTATTTCACTGTTATTTCACTGTTTCTCATAAAGCTGATGCAGTCAAGCATTTAGGCAAGTTTTCATTTTCTCTCGTCAAAAGCAAACAGGGCACTGAGCAGTAACATCAGCATCCAGACTTCTTTTCCAACTATATATTTCTCCTCAAACTATTTCAATCCCAGACCAACTTTATATGCAAAACATGAGCAGAACCAGAATCTCTCCAGTACTGCAACCTCCAGCTATGCATCTTACTTTAGTAGACTATATGAATAAAAATAACTTTAAATTTGACTTACTAATAGTGTAGTACTAACATTTCAAACTCAATTTCAATGCTGTCAAAAATGATTAAAGCTCCTATATTACTCAAAATTGACTCTTGTGAGATTTAAAGATGCACTGTGTAACTTTTTGGTCGGGCGTCCGTCAAATTCTTGTTTCTATGTCATTGAATGTTTCACAGTATCACTTTAAACAGCGCTGCCTTACATTTATTCAATTACAGGTGGTTTTATAGCTCAAAAATATCTAAATAAACAGGCGTTTTGAGTGAGTGGGGTTGCCGCTCCACAGATCTGACCTGTAACTCGTATCCATGAAGGTAGAAAGGTTTAATGCCATACTGTGAAACATTCAGGACGAAGCAATAACATCTCCAAGGAGGAAAAAAAGCATTTGACAAAACCTCAACCAAAAAAGTAATACAATGTACCTTTAAACCATGTTATAATGTCATTAAAAACATATCCAGTGTTGTGTTTTGTTTCATTTCCACATGTTTGAGTCTTTTAATATTAGTCTGTCTACAGCGCCAAAGCTCAAAATGCTCTGTTCCACCTCGTGATGTCATGAAGCGGTAGTTTTTTACCTTCTTTTCAGTTGAGATTGAAAAGTCCAGGGCTGAAATCTTCCAAATGAGTCTAGTGAAGGTGTCTTTGTGTTTTCTGTTTGAGAGAAGAACTCAGCCTAAATATGCAGCATATATGTGTTAAACATGTGTGAATGAAACAAACAAAGCACACCTCGAGGTATGTTTGTGATGAGGAAATAGCAGAGAATAGAAAACAGTGTAATGTGGGCCCTGTAATATTCAGCTATGAGCTATTTTATAAGATATTTTTAGACAATAAAAGATCTAGAAGTTTTAGTTTCTTTAGTATTAACGTGCTCTTATAAGCCTATTAGTTCTGATACAGACTAGCTCAAGAAATGGTCCTCGTTTTTTTCTGGTATCAATACTTCAAATGAATTAGTTTTAGTTTTAATATCAATGAGTATCCGAGTGGGTACTGGGTATTGATTATTTTTACAACTTAAATAATAACTGCATTCTACTTGGCTCCCTGCCTCATTTAATTACCATGGAATAGCCTGCCAAGTTCATAGCTTTAGAGAAAACTCCTCCTATGTTCAAGTATTTGTTTTGTTATTTGTCTGTGAGCTCAAATCTTAAATCTACAAAGCTGTACGATTAAAGTAGGCTGGGCAAAAATACTGTATTCTTTAAACAGTTTGTTACAGGCTATAGCTTCTTAATCTTGTACGAGCAGAGTCCAGCACAGCACTAGATCTTTTTACTGAAACGTGTTCAAATCCTCCAATCTACTGTATATCTTAAAGGGACCATATTACGCTATTTTCTGGGCTATTTTATAACACTGTTTCCTCATCAAAAACATACCTGGAGCTGTGTTTTGGTTAATTCTAGGGGTGTAACAATATCCAAGTCTCACGATACAATATTGTCACGGTACGATATTTATTGCGATATCACGGGAAAGCTCACGATATGGTGGGGAGGCTCACGATTAAGGATGTAACAATATCCAAACCTCTATGTGCAATATTTTCACGATATACATATCATGGTACAATATTTACTACGATAGTTTGTGGAGGCTAATGAAACTGTTAATATGATACTTTTTCTTCTTAAAATGCCTTGACAATAATCCAAAGTGCTTAGAACTGTTATTTCTTCTTGTAGTCTGCATTGAAATGGAGCAAAGAAACATGGTCTATGTTGTTCCCTCTGTCATATTTTAGCTATTGCTGCACCATAACTCTTAATTTAAGCAAAGAGACTTGTAATTCAATATATTGTAATGGTCCACGATATTATTGTGAGAACTTTGACGATACGATATCACGATATTTCGGTTATTGTTACATCCCTAGTAAATTCCATTCATGTTTAACACGTAACTCTGTTCTTCTCTCAAACAGAAAACTCTGAAGTCATGTGGTGACACAGGAAGTGCTTCACTGTGTTTTTAAACTCCATACGCCTTCACTAGAATCATTTGGATCAATTCAGCCCTGGAATGTCCAATTTCTGCAAAACAAAAGGTAAAAAAGCAGCTGTTAACTTGAAAACTACTGCTTCATGACATCGCAAGGTGGAAGACAGCATTTTGAGCTTTGGAGATGTAGAAAGGCTAATCATAAAAGGTTACAAAAATGACTGAATGAAACTAAACTCAACTCCAGGTATGTTTTTGATGAGGTAACAATATAAGAAAATCTGTTAAAGCTCCTAGGCTTCCTAAGTTAACTCAAACAGCACTGATATTTGACTAAACATAAACTGTAAAAACCTTTGACATTATCGAGCAAGCGTGCAAAAAAGCACAGAAAAGAGTCATAAAACCGATACGGAATCCCTATAATATTGGCTCTAATGTAGTGTACAGTGCGATGCTGGTGGTACCACGTCTGAGCAGCGCGTGTAGTGACAAAGGTGATGCGCGCGGAGAGGAGAGCAGACAACGGCACGCTTGGTTGCTTTGTGGACACGCTTTCACTGTCAGGTGGTGCGTCTCCCGCAGCGTGAAGCCACTATCCAGACATGTGGGCGGACAATACATTATCATTGTCCCGACTCCCGATGCGATGATGGGGCTCTAGGTGCGCGGAGGAACAGCGAAGGAGCCAGCGATTCCAATGCGGAACAGGCAACCACGGGACACATCTCCAAGTCTCAGTGTAAACAAATCATTCATTATTATTATTAGACCTGTGCATATGCAGATGGTCGCTTTCACACAGACAGGGAGCAGATGTGAGCCATACGGTATGGTACTCACCGTCACGCCGCTCGTCTTCCTCCCGGGTGGCCAACCTCGTTTCGGCTTCTCCTCTCACCTCTCCTCGCTGTTTTCAAACCACCATCAAGCATTACATCCCCGTAAATTGACTCTTTTAACTGTGTAGCCTCTCCAACCTGCTCGTGTCATTGATGAGCGTGGTGCTGTATCTCAAACTGTCCATTTTCCATTTCCACAACAGTCCGCACGCACACGACCCGCCCCCGGGCAGCAGGGATTGGCTCGCGGGGGTCCTCGACGTCTTCGCCTCGCCGTAAAGGAAAACACACATCTGGGGGGGTGAGAGAGAGAGACAGAGAGAGAAGGGAGAGAAGGGAAAGAGGGGACAAGGGCAGCGCTTCTGTGGAGGGGATGGTCTGTTCTGTTGGTCTGGTTACGTACAGGAGCTGCCAGCGTGCGTGAGAAAATTGCATACGCGTGGAAATGCCCAGTGTTTACGGTGGCTTAGAGATTAAAATCCGTCATGTTAGTGGAAAATCCGGTTGCTTATTTACAGTATACTGTGATTTACCAACAAGAAAAAGCCAACTTTAATTGCGTAACTTTGGAGCGTGAACAACCTATTTTAATGTAAATGCAAAATAGGCCGTGTGCTTGCGTCATAAGCAAAATAATTAGTCTATAAAATTTGATGACTGGGCTAGCAAAACTCTCCATAATCGGCCCTATATTTAAGTATTCACCAACCTATGTTCTGCTTCTATAGACACGGTATTCCTATTATATGAAAATGTGGATTGGCACAGGTTTTACGCACTAGTTCTTTTTGATTCTTTAAAATTATGTTACATCACGAAACTGACATAAAACTCCATAATTGGGACAATTTTTCGTCTTCATTTATCTGTGTTATTTGGCACAATATTGGCTTCTTCAGGCAAAGAATAATATAGCGTAAGATTCCTACAATACGAAAATGTGTAGTGGTCTGTGGAGGTTTTTACGCACCAGCCCTTTGTAACTGCAGGCTATGGTAACACATCCAGCTACTTTTCACCTGTGAATTAGGTTTTTATGAATGAAATCGACTCATATTAGCTTGTGTTTGAAAAGTCTACACGTACATATTTACATAGTGATGAATATGACCCAATATTAACACATTTTCGTGGATTTTTGCGCCTGAAACTGTGGAGTCGCACTTGGCCTTTGTCTGACACTTGCAGCTGACAGCTTGGCGTTGCCAGGGTAACGCTGATATTTCTGTTGCAGTGGCTCCATCTAGTGGTCAAAAGATGTCATTATGCGTTTGTGTGGAGATTGCTTTGTCTTTTTGTGATGCATTAGACGTAAGGTAAAGCTCATGGAACAGAGAGTTTGAATAGATAATCATTTGTATATCCTCCTGAGACCCGGCCCATTCATTTGTGTCCTACATAGTGGAATATTAAGTTAACCAGTCTTCAATTCAACCAGTGTTTTGAGATAGACTTTTAATGGGGGGACTGGGTTCCTCTGTCTGGGGGATTATAGAGTACTATAAAAAAAATAAAAGAAAAAAAGAAAAAGAAAAGAAAATACTGCACTATGATTAACAAATAATAATAATAAAATGAAAATAAAAATTAAATAAAATAATAAATAAATGTAATTTAATTTTAAAAATACAACAACAATAATAATAATAATAATAATAATAACATTAAAATAAAATAAAACAAAAAAACATAACACCTAATGTCCCCAGCGTCCATTACAGAGATGCAGACATGTAAAAATTATAAATTAAAAATAAATGTAAATGCTAAGGTTATGTATACATGTATGTATGTATATGTACATGTGAGCGTGTTTGTACATATTCATGTATGTGTGTGTGTATACATAAATATGTATTTGCATACATATATGTTCGTGTGTATATTTATGAAATGCATACAGCAGGTAAGCACTCCATAGGTGGAAAAAAAAAAAAAAAAAACTGTGTCAACCTTTTGTTTATGTAAAACAATTGGGGTAGGACATTATAAGTTTTTTAAACTTATAATGTTTTTGTTTTGTTTTTTGTTTTGTTGTTGTTTTTTTGTTAGTGTTGTTGATTTTGTTTTACCTTGCTCAAATAAATAATAATAATAAAATAATAATAATAAAAAGGTGTTCATTTACCTCGAAACTGATAGAAAATTACAATAAATATATATTGCAGTACAATGTTTTTCTTTGGGTCCCAGGTGGATATACAACTATTTTCCCTGTATTGCGCCTACTGTGGCATCGCTTCAACCTAGACAAATTCTCTTCAACTTAGGATATAAAAAACTTAATTTGTCAGCATTTAAAGATCTAAACTGGGTTTTATTTAGAATGCATACATATTTTCTTTTAAAGCCTGAGCAAATATATAAGGTGCACTCTGTAGTTGTGTTGAGGTGGGGAGTCGGCCACATGTTTTTCTCCATGGAGATGTTCTTTCTTTGCCTGGAATGTTCCACCCACAGTTTGGTATTAAACAGATCTATCTTGCTTTTATTCAGTTACACTTGTTCAGTTGATTTAAGAATTATAAATAGCTTAGATCCACATGAACAAGCTTGCCTCTCCATAGCCTTTTAAACTGTCCTGGTAGTATTAGTTTGTCTTCATGGAGATAGACCACTTTAATACTGTCGAACATTTAAAAAGACAAAACTATGGGACCGCCCACCCCGTGATTTCAGAAGACAATTTCTTATTAATTTTTGGCACAGACTTTCTGAAAAAAAAAATGTTTGAAAGCTCAGGGCTAATCAGCTATGTGGTAACTAATGAGCGCAAGATCTGTAATTTTATTTAAAATCTGTTTCTGAAACTTTATAAACCGCTAAGCCATGAAAGCATTCCTCTGAATTTTGCACTTTAAATTGGCTTTTTCAGCTCAAAACAACTGTGTTATAGATATTATTACCACATAGCTGATTAGTCTTTGCGACAAATGGGCAAATTAAAATGTAATTTCAGAAGTGGAGCTAGAAGATTATAGTGAGCAGTGTCTACAGCCTACTACAATAATGAACATACCTCTGTCTCTGTCTTAAAAATAGTCTTTATGAAAAATGTATGAAAAAAGTTCACTTCAACTGGCACGGCACTTGTGGTTTTGTCAAGACGATAATGCAAGGGTTGTAGTGAATATTGTAAGAAGAAAAACAAATGAATAATGCAGAACTTGACTTGATACTCTCTGTGTGTAAAGGAAGATGTGCACTACGCCTGACCTGTAGCCTATAATTTATCAATGAAAGCCAGTGGTTTCTTTTCACATTACTTATGAAAATATCTCGCCTTCTGAGTACCACTAAGTGTTATAGGATTGTACCGGGAATAGAGGGCTAAACCAGGTCTACAACTGGACACGTTACAACAAACATAAGCAAAAATAAACTCAAACAAGGAGAAAAATGTGATTAAAACTGACTCTAACTGACGTAAACCTAGAACTGAAGATGACTCTACATGACACTAAAACAAATTTACTTTGTCTATATAGAAGTTATAATTGTTTGCCTCTACAGTTATAAGGTTGTATTTAAACATAAAATGAACCAAATATATACATAAACATGAAAATTAAAGGTGCACTATGTAACATTTCTGGAGTAGGGTCCACCACCTGGTTGTCTCCATGGCGATGGTATTGCTTTGACTGGGCTCCATGGTATTATACTTTTTTTTTTTTTTTTTTAAGTCTGTCATGATTTCTTTATTATGTAACATCAACAAATAATTATACAGAAAAAAATGCAACAGTAAAAATATGTAGAATATTGTCGTAAGTTTTTTCCTCTTTCACCATTTTCCATTATTTCGGCCAGGCGACTTTGGGAATGCCATAATGTTCAGTATGTGTGTCCAGGTGTCGATTGAACTCCTCAACTCTGTGTTTTTGTGTTTTTGATGCTTTGTTCAGAATCCTCTCCATTTGTCGCTTCTCTTGCGTTTTGTCAAATGCAATTTCGGCTGGGGTCCTTTTGTCCATAAATGTTTTTTTAGCCTTCACATCCTCATAATTTTGACTGGTCAAGACCTGTTCCAGCTGCTGCTTGCTTTCTTTGTCCTTCTTCTTCTTCTTCTTCTTTTTCCCAGCCGAAACAATGCCCACTCCTTTGAGTTTTAAAGCTCCTTTCTGGACCGTCGCGTACTCAGACATTATACTTGTCTATCTTGCATTTATCCAATTACTAGTGAAAAATACAATGGAAAACATTTAAGATTCACACAAACCCTGGATATTTTCTCAAACAAAAAACACTCTGTTCCACCTTATGATGTCATGTGGCAGTACAGTAAATGCTCCACTGTGTTTTTAAACTCCGTGCACCTCCACTCGAACCATTTTGATGATTTCAGCGCTTGAATTTGCCGTTTTGGAGATATAGACAAATTAATAATAAAGGTTTACTCAAACATCAACAAAACACAACTCCAGGTATGTTTCTGATGAAGTAACAACATTATAACATGACTTAAAGCTCAGAAGAGTCACTTTGTTTAATATGGACCCTTTACGTCCTGCATGTATTATTGTAGTTAGCTGTCCTGTCCAGGAGGTGGCAGTAGTGAGTAAGTTTGAAAGTCAAGTGACAGAAGAAGAGATGGTTACAAAACCTGAATTACACACAACAACATTCCTCTGTGACAGTAATATCATATGATCACAGGGCAGAGTCGGGTTAACTGGGGTTATTTAGCTACTGTTCCTGTTCTTTTATCCATTCGTATCTATCTGAGCGCGTTCTTTCTCTTTAAGGTAAGCATTAACTCATTTATTTAGCCTTTTTGTCAGCATGTGTAACTCTAAGTTGCAATGAATGAACTGTAAACAATTATGCAAACCTTTTAACTTTTGACCTATTCTGTTGTTTAGTAGATATGAAAAGTGCATTATGTTTGTGTCAAGACTAGAAAACAACCACGTATTCTTGAGTTACTAGCGAAGTTTAATCTATAACTGCACACACATTTAAACTGTATTGTAGCAAACATAAAAGTGACTATATTCTGTATGTGTCAAGTTGTTGCTTTAAATTCTTTGTAGACTGCTGCGACTTGTGAAGAATATAGTGAAAAATATTGCTTAACTGAAGGTAAAATTGTAAGCTTTAAGTTAGTAAATAAGTTCAAAGTTCAGTGGCCGACTCTTAAACACTTAAAGCCAAGTCTTCTCCGGTGTTTCTTAATTTATCACCAATGTATATTTTTATTAAAAATGCTAAATTTCATGTTATTAGTTATTAGGGATATAGTTGACTAAAGAAATTCTTGGTTGACTACAGACATGTCCTGCTTATCATTTAGTCGACTAAACACTAAAAATAATATGTTACAAAAGCTCTCAAAACTATTACATATCTCTGTGCACTCAAGACTACACTTACACAGGAGTTCAGACAAAAATAGCTATTTATGCAGAAAATAAATACAAGGAAACTATGTATTCTTATAAAAACAGGTTAATCATGAGTTTAATCTGCCTTTTTACACATAGAAAAAAAAATCCTCAGCTAACTCTTTCACTTGTTGTTGTCCTATATAATAGTAGAGGTAAGATCTTAAGACCGAGCCCAAGCCCGACCCGGGTCGGGTCTAAAATGTCAATCATTACTTCGGGTCGGGTCGGGCTCGGGCTTCAAATAAATATATGTTTATAAAATGTATGCTAAAACGATGTGTGGATACTAAACTAAGGAATACTTGTTATAAAATAAATAATATGGATAAAACAGAGAAGTAATGTAATGTAATTGCTATTTAACTACTAAACAGGATCCGCAGAGCCAGAGCTCTGCGCACGTGAACGCCCCCTCTTCATTTAATAATCTTCCCCTCCGCAAGTCTGCATCTATTTTGACCTGGTGTCCCCAATATGGAGGAGCAAGAAGTTAAACTAAAGGCAGGAGAACTGAAAAGACAAACACTCACCGGTAAGAGTGAGGTGTGGAAAAGCTTCAAATTGATTGTTGAAAATGCTACAGAAACTTGCGTTGGCTTCGCTGAATGTCGTCAATGTGGCGCTTTGCTTTCATACGAGAGCAAAAAGACTGGCACCTCGACGCTGAGCACTGCTCCTCCTCCCGAGTCCTCACAAATAAAATATGACATTTCGGGTTTGCTTCGGGCTCGGGCCTGCAAATCAAGTTAATTGGTCGGGCTCGGGCCGGGTTGGGTTTTAATACCCGCGGGCCCGGGTCGGATCGGACTGGATTTAGGCCCGATCTCACCTCTATATAATAGTAAGTGCTTGCAATCAAAATAAAAGTTAACTGTTATTGTTACTTTTTAGTATTACCTTTTTCATCATCACAGACATCATTGTGTTCAAATGTTAAAATATTTTACTGGGTTTGCTTTGTGTATGTGTGTTTTTCTCTTGTTTAATGCATAAATCAGTTATTAACTTTTACTTATCACCATTTTTAGCAATAACTTCATAATTTTGATCAGTATTACTACAATTAATCCTCCAGGAGAGTTGCAGTAGCAGCATGTTGGCCGCTCAGGAAAACCGTGTGATTGCTCTAGAAGAATGGGAGGAAAAATGGCAGCAGGATAAGATAGGCTTCCACCATCCCCATGTTCACAAGTAAGTAGGTTCATTACTACACAGTCTAAATGTAATGTAACAGAGCATAAAGTCACTGTTGTGTTTGGTGTTTTGTAGAATGCTAGAGGCCAACATTGACAAAGTGGTAGCAGGTCGGACTGGAATCAAGTTCTTCTTCCCTCTCTGTGGAAAAGCTGTAGATATGAAATGGTGAGTATACAACCAGCTGCTGCACCAGAACATTAAAATGCAGTTAAGAGATGCATGATTAATCAAACTGAACCTGAGATTTGAATTGGTTTTGGTAAACTGGACTAGTTAAAGGAAACGTATTCTATTTTCTGAACTATGTTATGTTTTTTCCTCATCATACCTGGAGTTGTGTTTTGTTTCATTCACATGTGTTTAACTCACAAATCCTGCATATTAAGACTGAGTTTTAAGCAGAGTTTAAGCAGAAAACACTCCATCTTGTCATGTGGTAGTACAGGAAACTGTGTTTTAAACTTTTTACATGTTCACTGTAATCACTTTGATAATTTAAGCCCCGAAATTGTTAATGTCTATTGAAAAAGTTAAAAAGTAGCTGTAAACTTAAAAACTATGACATCAGAAGGTGAAACAGAGCATTTTGAGCTTTGAAGATGTAGAGAGACTAATAATAAAGGATTATTCAAACATGGGTGAATGAAATGAAAAACAATTTTGGTAGATTTTTATGGCGCTAACATTATAATATGACATAAAGTTCACAAGAGTCAATTTTGCGCAATATAGGAGCTGTAAAACTCAACCTCAAATACACCGTATTTTCCGCACCATAGGGCACACTCATAAGCCTCCAACCCCAAAAAACGACTGCACGCCCGACAATCCAGAGCACCCTATACACGAATCCACTCGGGTGTCCCAGCACGACTTCAGTAAACTAAAAAGCTGCACCACCCTCAGCGCACGCAAACACGCACGGCGCAAACAGCGACCACGCAGCGAAACACACCCGCAGCCACACTCATCACTCCACACGGATGAGGAATGGAACGGAGGAAAGAACCGAAAACGCGAGTGCAATGTGCCACTCTGAGCCACAACTGAACAACTGAGTCACTGCGAACACGCCAACAATCCAGTGGTCCCAGACAGCACCCTCCCTACACGCCACAACTGAACAAAGCCCAGAGTCACTGTGAACGCGCCAAACAAAGTCCCACTGACACATCAAACTGTTGTGTTTCTTTTAATACACCTTATAGTCCGGTGCGGTTTATATGTGAAGTTCGAAAATAGACCATTCAATGACAGTGTGCCTTATAATCCAGAGCGCCCTATAGTGCGGAAAATACGGTAATATCTGTCAGAATAATGAGTACTTTTTCAAAATTGTAAAGCCCTTCTGTTTTTCATGTCACTTCCAGGACTGCAGAGTTGGGTCACACTGTAGTTGGAGTGGAGCTGACAGAAAAAGCCATTCGACAGTTTTTTGAAGAGAGTGAAATGAGTTACACTGAGGAGAATGTGCCAACCATCCCTGGAGCTAAAGTGTTTAGGGTGAGGAAATGAGGCCTTTTAATATTCTAATGTAACGTGTTCAGATGGGAACAGGCGCTAGTATTTGTGTATCACTTACATGCTATTGCTGTGTTTCAGATCACCTCACAACATTCTCACATTTTGTTTTAATATAACTCGTTCTAAAGTCAGAAATGATCAGGTTAACATTTGTAAATGGGAAAGTACAGTGTTATCAATAGAGTCATCTTATGCTGGCTCTTGTCCCCCAACTGAGAGTATAACATCATCACATTATAATCTGAAAGCTGTTTTTATATTGGTAATATTGTATATTTTCTTACTATATTTGGCCAACAGCAGCACCAAATGACCACATAAACAATTAAATCTGTCACTGACACCGCAGCATTGCTTTTTCTAATCAACACAGTGAGCCTTTTACTGTTTTGATCTCATCTGGAGCCATGACTAATAGCTGATTACTTACAGTTCACTGCCAATAGACCCCTGATAAATGAGTAAAGACTAAAGCAACAATTACAGCGTCCTTGGATGGTCCATTAAAAAACAAATAAATAAAGTTGTATTTTTATAATTCACAATGTCGATTAGGACAATTCCCTTAGCGTTCCAAAGATCCCACTGAGCCTCCTATAATAATTCACACAATTCAAAATCATTTTACATTTTTACTTTTAGATTTATATGTGAAATATACAAATAATTATGACCGAGAGGCTTGATACTAGTTTAACGTAGTGCATTTAAACAAAAAAAAGAAACATGTTTAATTCAAACTCCATTTTCTTTTTTGTACTCATGTATGGAGGTTTGGGGGCTCTCTGTAGTGACTTTGAGAACCACAAGGGGCTCCGGACCTCGTTATGGGAACTACAGACCTAAACTTATACCCGTTTCTTTCACAGAACTCTGAGAAAACGGTTTCACTTTATCAGTGCGATATCTACAAGTTCTCCAGGTATGACACTTTCAGCCAAACATGTGGAATAAAACTGTATAAAGGACACTGCAATATAAAGTGTCCTAAGACTTCTAGACATCCCTGTAGTATTACTATAAGACTGTACAAGATCTTAAAGGTAAAGGTAGATGAGTGTTATGCCACACAAAGAGTCAGGTTTACGGACATGCAAGCTCGCTTACAGCTACGATGCATGTTTTCAGGGCAATAAACTCAACCCAAAGAAAAAAACAAAAAACAAAACATGCTTTCATTGTTAGTTACAGTAGAAATTTGCGGAGTTTTATGAAGCTGATGATGATCTCTGTAGTTCCCTTGAAGGTCAGTTTGGAGCCATTTGGGACAGAGGTGCTCTCGTCGCCATCAACCCCAAAGACAGAGAGAAGTAATGTTACCTGTTCTATTATATGAAAATATTGTCCCAGTTTGCTGTGTTAGTTAGTTACTTTTTCTCTCTGTGTGTCCAGATATGCTGCTCTGATGGTTTCTCTGATGGCCCCTGACTGCAGGTACCTCTTGGACACTCTGCTCTATAATCCTGAGTTACATAAAGGTAAATGTTTATTTTTCCTCTCATATTGATTCTTTGCAGTGACAACACGTTGGGGGTGTTCTACTTGTATCTCTATATTGGAATTTTCAGCTGTTACCAAAGAGACTCAATTAGCGTCAACTCATTAGCAAACACTGTCAAAAAAGTTTTAAGATGGTCTGAAAACTCACACATTTTCAGGAGCCTGTGACCAATACAAAGGTCCTGTTAATGTGTTTGACTTTTAAAGGGCCCATCTCATGCAAAATAACTCTTTTCACATTGTATCTTCTGCACATATACAAGCACAATTTAGATTTTGGAACATCCATTACACAATACTTATGAAATCTTACTGATTTCTTGGCGGCGTCACAGACCAGGAACTATGAAAGACCCACTATTGCTCATCCCCCCGCCCGTCCTGAGAAAGCACAGGCTCTGCCCTCCAAACGTGACGTTGCCTCTGACTGAGCTGCCCTTCCTCCGCCCATCTCAGGGAGGGATGGGGAGACAGGTGTGCGCCCTGATAGCAGTAGGAATAAAGTTGATTCATCATGGTGATACAGCGCGTTCAGCCTTATGTGTTGGACCCGGAATCGGACGAGAACTTGGAGATGCACGAAGTGCAAGCACCGCGTCGACATCAGCTGAACGTTACTGATTGGTAAAGTATTAATAAACGCTATTAGATAAACTTATTATATCGTGTACACTGCAGTGTAAAACAATTAGCTTATGCTGTTGCTTTTGTTTAGGTGTTTATGCTACATCAAGCTGGCCACGTCATTGTTGTAGCAGCTTTAGTTCGTTGTCATGTGGGAGGGTGGCAGAAATACACTGCAATTTGTAAAAAAAAAAATGCCGAATCAATCTAAAAAACACTTTTGCGACATATACAAGGCCCACATATCACTCTTAGAAGTTAGAAAGCTCTGAAAAGTTGATTTTGCATGAGATGGGCCCTTTAATGAAAAAGGTTAGTGTGAGGTTGGCTAATGCTCGCTAGCTTGTAACTGTAATTTTATTGTTTAACAGCACAAATCATCTCACCGGGTCTAGTTCCAGCAAATTCTGTTCTTTATAGTCAGATGGTGTTGAAATAAAACTCAGATTAAACTCTAGACAAACAGACAGAGCAGTGCCTAGTTAGCATCACATCTCGAGGGAATGTTGATAACATCAGCTGCAAAGTATCAATAATTCTATAACTGAATGGGAAAATGTGTCATTGTGTCATTAATGACTCAGCGCTTCACAGGTCCTCCATTTTTTGTACCGGATGAACAAGTGTTGAGCCTGTATGGTAAGCATTGAAAAGTGGTCATGATTTTAAAAGGTTTTATAATTAACTCTTTAAATGTGTTTTAGGGTCCAACTGTGATATTGAGCTGTTGCAGGAAGCCGATGCCTTCAGTGAAAAAGCCAAAAACTGGGGCCTGGACTACCTCACGGAGAAAGTGCATCTACTAGTTTTAAAGAACAACTGACTTTCTTAACTTTTTTAACTAATGTTTTTATGGTTTATAGAGTTAAAATTTAAATAAAGTGTATGAAATACCTGAATCTTATTTGGGGGTCACTGTGAGAGATGCTCACTCGTGTGTCTCCACAGATTAGACCTGTAAACCTGTTTATGTAAATGTAAGAACTGGTCTGAAAAAGCTGCAAATTAATTGCCCCCTGGGACCAATCAAGGTTTCAGAATCTGAATCAATCTTAATCCGTGTATCATTCGTTCATTCGTTTTTCAATATAAAACCAAAAAAAAGAAAACGAAAAAACAACAGTTTTCTTCACTATTTGTCTCCAAAACCAAAATGAAAAAACGGATAACGATTCGTTTTTTCAGTTTTCGATTTTGTGTATAAATGAAGAATGGAAAAAACGGATAACGCCCGTTTCCCGTTTATGTGACTTCCATGACTGCGATGCCGGACTTTTGCACCGCGTACGGACTGAACCAGGACTGATCCAGGTCCGGGACCAGACCGGGACCAAACCGGGACCAGGACTCCGAGCTTTGACTCCGAGCCTCAGCTTCGAGCTCTGGCCCTGCTGTGGGCTTTGAGCCTCCGGTCTGGTCCTGGTCTTGTCTCGGGTCTCAGGCCCGCTCTGGTCCCGGTCTGGTCCCAGTCTCAGTAGCGCTCTAGTCCCGGTCTGGTCCCGGACCCGGTCCATTTGAACCAAAAGCTCTTAGTTCAATTAATTTTCGTTGGTGTGAAAGCGTCAATTAGATGCTTTGCACCACCTCCGAACCAGCCGCGGTTCTTGAGCGCGGGGGACCAGAGCAGCTCTGTCCTGGTCTGGTCTCGGACCTGGATGAGTCCTGGTTCAGTCCGTACGCGGTGCAAAAGTCCGGCATCACAGTCACGGAAGTCACGTAAATGGGAAACGGCCGTTATCCGTTTTTTCCATTTTTCATTTAGACACAAAATCGAAAACTGAAAAAACGAATGGTTATCCGTTTTTTAAATTTTGGTTTTGGAGACAAATACTGAAGAAAACTGTTGTTTTTTCGTTTTCTTATTTTTTGGTTTTATATTGAAAAACGAATGAACGAATGATACACGGATTAATCTTAAACGCTTTCTCTTTCATTTTTTATCTTTGCCATTAGTTTGCCCTTTTTGGATAATTTCCTCACAAGCTGCACAGATGTGATCAGTCCAAAAGAAATCTGATTACTCACATCACATGTACTACCTCACGGAGAAAGTGCAGCTACTAGTTGTAAAAAAAATAATAAATTTTCTTAACTTTTTAAATTAATGCTTTTTATAGTTTACAAATGATTTCTGATGAGTTAAAATTTAAATCGAGTGTATAAAAGACATATATCTTATTTTTTCCCATGTATTTGAGCAAAATTTGCATTCTAAACATTGCAAATAGGGTCATTCCACGCTTAATCTCCGAATGCCCCCACTCGACCAGCTCAGATTTGACTGAAAAAAATTGTAGGTTCACACACTTTCTAACAGGAAAAGTCCCAAATTTTTGCTCCCAACTCCTTATAGTTTTGTCATAAAAAATATTTGTAAACTCTGCCCTGACCTGTTTTGAGCAGAGTTGTCCTAGGAGCCACTTTTAGATTGTTGTATGTAAAAAACTACTTAAGGTCAGTCCTTCAAATTTTCAAGGTTTAAAAATTGGCAAATGTACGACAGAGTATAAGGGTCAGATAAAAAAAAAAAAAAAATGCTGGCGCTACGAGAATAAAGTCGTAACATTTCGACATTAAAGTCGTAATATTATGAGAATAAAGTCGAAGCCAGAAAAAGTCGTAATTTTACGAGAATAAAGTCATAATTTTACAAGAATAAAGTCGAAGTTAAAATAAAGTCGTAATATTATGAGAATAAAGTTATAATATTACGAGAATGAAGTCGTAATAAAATCAAAGTCAAAGTGAAAAATGCGGCAGAAGAAGAACCTTGTTTTTCAATATAAAACTAAAAATAAGAAAACAAACAACAATTTTCTTCATTATTTGTGCCTCCGGACTGAACCAGGACTGAACCAGGACTATACGAGGTCCGAGACCAGACCGGGACTGAGACCAGGAATTAGACAAGGACTGAGTCAGGGACCAAGACTGAGACCGGGATCAGACAAGAACTGAAAACGGTTTAGTCCTGGTTCAGTCCTGGTCTGGTCCCGGTCTCAATCCTGGTCTTTCTGGTTTGGTTCCGGACCTGATTTAGTCCTGATTCAGTCCTTGTTCAGTCGAATGAACGAATGATACACGGATTTTTCTCCTTTACAAAATGCTCCAAATTCTCCATTCGTTCATACTTTCCGAGCAGCTGATATTCTCTTAATATTATGACTTTATTTTGACTACGACTTTATTCTCATAAAATTACTACTTTATTCTTGTAAGTTTACGACTTTATTCTCGTAAAATTATGACTTTATTCTCGTAAAATTACGACTTTTTCTGGCTTCGACTTTATTCTTATAATATTACGACTTTAATGTCAAAATGTTACGACTTTATTCTCGTAGCGCCAGCATGTTTTTTTTTTTTTTATCTGACATCTTATACTCTGTTGTACAAATGTACTTGTAGAATATGGACTTTTACACTTGTGCTTTTGGTTTATCACAGATTTCTGGGGGCTTGAATTTGCTAAAAAATTCTACTCTTCAAATTTGAGGGCATCTTTGAAGGACTGTGGAAAGTGCAATTTCAAAGACAGAGGTTTGATATGAACATAAACCTTCCCACAGATGCTATGTACGTTTGTACTTTGTATTTTAAAACTGACCCTCAGATTAAGTAAGATATTAAGTGTTAAAAAAAAAAAACAGATAGCACCCACCAACATAAAATGGACTGTTTAGAAAGACTATGGCTGTTTTTTACATATCCATTTGTGATGGTGTTCTGCCTTATTTGTGCAAAATAATTTTTTAAAAATATGGTGTTCGCATTCATGGACTATGAAGACACTTTCAGAAGCTAAGAAAACATTCTGATTTCATGACACACATAGGCCTGTAACGATAATCAATAAATCGATTTATCGTACGATAACTTTTGACGAGCTCGATAACTTTTCCAGCCACGATAAATTCTATGTACATTGTTTTCCTCGCTCTCTCTCGCGCTCAAAGAGACTGAATGTTAGAAGCTTCTATCGCTCTCTGACTCCTCTCGTTTAACAAGCGTAATGACACTTGAACCAACATGTGCTGTGTTTATCACACGGCGGATGCGCCCATAGTCTGAGCACTTTCTGCACATGCAGAGATGGCAGAGGCGCCGCTGTCTGTGCGGTGCGTTAGCAACACAAGCTAGCGCCGCTGTCAGAGTGACCACAGAGTTCATCTCCGAGCGCCAAAACAAGTCACAATGCCGAATCAACACTGGTGAGTGGGACACGTGTCAACAACCACATGCGTCAAAAGCAGCGAGCGCACAAACGACGAGAAGAAATTTCTCAAACCCCAACAGCCGATAAACCCCCCCAAAAAATAGAAAAAAATAAAGGCCTTAGCTTGGGCATACTTCATGCTAGGCATTTGTGACTCACTACACTCATTGTTCAAGTTGTTGGCAACAACTGTGTAGAATTTCAGATCTCTAGGACAAAGGGTTTTGATGCTGTGAGCCTTTGTGTATACAAAATGACAATTCGGCACAAGATTGCCAAATTTGTGCCAAAATAATAATAATAATATAATAATAATAATCATTGTTATTATTATAATACTAATTCTTCTGAGCTTTAGGCATGTTTTCTCAAGAAAAAAAACTAAAAGTAGCCAAAATTGTCTTCCAAGTGGCTGTTCTGCTACTACTACTACTGCTCTCTGTGTCTCTCTCTGTGTCCCTCTCGGCTGCGCGTATAAACACAGGGTCCGTTTCCAATACAATCTAAATGTCCCACCCACCGTTTGAAAGCTCTGGTGATAGGCTAAAACAATATGTCAATCACTTTCTGGAAGATCCAATGACTGAAGAGATGAAATGACTAAACCCCGCCACCGACAACAGCGGGGAGGGTCTCATTTTGAAGCTAAGAGTGTGAGGAAAACAAGCTAGCTATGCTACATTTAACCTAGGTTATAAGGCCATTTCTAAAAAGTCTGGCTAATTAAGCTAATATAGTGTAATATTTTTTGTTTGTTTTTAGTTTTTTTTTAAAGTAATCAGTAATTCAGACATGTTTGTAAACACCAAAATGCTTTTCTTATAAAGATGGAGGACGACATCATGCGTCTGAGGGAGGAACTTGATCGAGAGAGGAAGGAGACGAATTATGTTCGGCTTGAAAGGGACAAGGCGCGTGCCTTCTTGGACATCACCGCCAGGAAGCTAGACGAGGTCAAAGCTGAACTCAAAAACCTGGACAAAGAGTCGGAGGAAACAGAAATCAAACTTCAAGAAGAAATTAAGGTATCGTATACTAGTATTTTTCTATACATTTCTGTTAGATCACTACATTTTTAAACACAAATGTGTTCCTCTAGGTTTCCAGACAAAAAATGCAATATCTTCTCTGTGAATATCAAAATACAACTTGTGAGCTCAACACTAATGCAGTAGCCTCAAAACAGGCACTGCAGGCTGAGCAAACATTACTAGAGAATAAACTTAGGAATGATTTGGCATCTCTGCTCATAGACATACATCATGTGGACACTGAAACACCAGTCATGGAGCTTAAAAAGGTAACATGCCCTTTTTATATGTGAAATTAATCCAATAATTTTCTTACTAAAATATTCTATTTAATGCCTAGATATATGAAGAAAAAAATGCTCATATGAGAGCAATTTCCGAAAAGAAACTCCAAGGTAAAGAGCTTACTCTAAAACATAGCTCTAGCACTAGAAAACAAGTTAGCAAAACTTTTTTTTCCATTGTAGATGCTGAGACCAAAAATGAAAAGATGCATGATGAGCTGCGACTGTATTTTGAGAATCAGAGGAAAACTGAAGTCAGCCAGGTCAGGGACAACTGGAACAAATTCATCTCAACTCTGATGGAGAAAGATAAAGATGTATATGAAGAATCAAAAGCCTTACTTAAGAACATGGAAACAAAAACGGATATCCTCAATGATTTTAAGGTAAAACATTTTTATATCCTATATTAATGGTTTCAGAAGGTAATTGCGTATGTAACACAACTGAAGCAAAGGCCTATAGGAGCACTGAGGCTACCATCCATAAGTTTATTTTTAGTTTACTAGTAGATGGCAGATGTGAAACATGTGCTCCTAGCCCTGCCCCCTCATCTGGCCCTTGCTGAGGTTCACCTGTGATCTATGGTCTTCTGTCAAGCCAAAGCTGGAACACTAGCAGACTGCAAGAACATAGATAGACTCTAATGGTGATATGTGAGAATACAGCAGGGTCAGCTAGTCTAATTATTAATAATAGCTTTAAGTTCACTGCACACTAATGTATTGCATTGTGCAAATAAATTACATTTGACCCAAGTTAAATAAAAACACACACTTTGAATGACATGAGCAACGCAGCAGAAAATGACCTAGTATTATTTCTCTGGCATTTGTCTCTTAGCAAAAAGTTGCAGATGAGTCAACCGAGCTGAAAAAAAATCAAAAGGAGCTGACACATGTTTTGGAGGAGAATCAACAAGTGACTGAGAATCTGACTAAAATTCAAGAAGAAATAGCTGTCCTTCAGAATAAAATGAAGTATAGGTCCAAAAAGATTGACAACAAAAAGGAAACTGAACTAAATAATCTTGCATCTGAGTATATGATGCAAAAAAGGTGTAAAGAGGTGAGCTACAGAATAGACATTTAATTAATTAAAAAAAAAAATTATATTAAATATGTGTCGATGTGCTTACAGCTGCAGTTGGAGGTGGTTGAGCTGTGCAAAACATCTGCGGAGACAATGGAGAAAATGAAAAACAAGGCGGATGCAAAACACATGCAGATGGAAAAGAAAATACAAACGTTGACAAAGAAGGTTAGAACAAATCCTGTTAAGACTTTCTGTATTTCAAGTATAAAGTAAAGTATAATGGTTGATTTCTGTCTGTTTATAGATTCAAAAGGATTTGCTTCTTTGCTGATCACAAAACATCATCAAAGATGGGCTGTTTGGCCTCACCCTGTTCAATAACACTGGATTTCAATACTACAGACCAAATAAATTTCTTCTCAAAATATTACTATGAGCTATATGCATATGGTACTAAGGAACCCCTTAAGTTGCCCTTTGATTTTAGATGCATTTTGTCAAGCTTGTAGACTGTACACCATAAATCCATCCATTATCCATTATACACTGGCCCTTGTCATTGGATAATTGTATTTTTGGATAATTTATTTGTATTAGAAATAAATTTAAAATGACTGTCACCAATCTCAACAGCTGCTTTAGACAGATGATTCTCTGGTGCTGTCCACATTTCCACCACATGTTATGAGATAAGATTCATACCTGTGTATGAAGAAATGTCATCCTGTCACCTTGACGACGACAACAACAACAACCTGCTAAAATACAGTCAAAGAAAAGCCTCTGACGTCTTGTGACGTCTGTGGTGCTCATGTTGCAGCACTTGGCAGGACTTGCCCAGAGCTCCTTTTGCCTCTTCTTCTTCTTCTTCTTCTTCTTCTTGTGACATTATGTCATTTCATGTGCATGTTATTATGATTTATATGTTTTGTAATTCAATCCCCAATAAATTATTTTCTTTGTTTTTAACCTTTTGTATGTGTTACAAAATGTAATAAATATATGAATAATTATGCATTATTATTATTATTATTATTATTAGTAGTAGTAGTAGTAGTAGTAGTAGTAGTAGTAGTATCATTATTATTATTATCATTATTATCAGAATACAATCCTGGACTCATCTGACACACTTTGGCTCGCTTTGTCTCCCTCTGGTGGTCATTTATATTTGGAATCTGTTTTAACCCCAGAGCAGTACACTTCAACATTTAATTTCAGGATAACACAAGGGTTAAGAACACTTCAAGACCAAAATGCAGAGGCTCACAGCAGCAGCCACAGAGAGACAAGGCACAATATTCCAATATAAGTCAATGACTAAAATCACTTTTAAGGACAATTTTGTTACAGAGACTTAATAATCCATTTTACTTATTGTTTTGGTTGTATTTGGTTCAACAGTGGTTTATTCAAGTACATTTTTGTGAACAAGTTCTTGCTGTGAGTCAGACTACATTAGGCTAATCCTATGTTAAGTCTGTTGTATTTAGGCCTGTTGTTTTTGGTTGTCTTACAGTTCCTGTGTTAAATGTTCTTTAGAAAGTAAGGTTTATTGATCATTGAGAGGATGTATTTGCATTTTTATTCCATGGTCATTATATTATTTGAAATTGGTCTCAAAATGTTGGATCTCAAAATATTATCGTCGATCGCAATAAATACTTGGTCAATTAATCGTCCAGCAAAATTTGTTATCGTTACAGGCCTAGACACACAGCTTAAACTCAACAAAATTCTTTATTTTATTACTCAACTACTGTAAATTACTTAAATTGTAAATTTAATAAAATGTAATTTAATCTTATATTGTAAATTACATGACTCAAAACTTTTGTGTGTTTGTGAGTGAGTGACTCCTGAACAACAGGCACCATGGATCACCACAGAGCTATGGATAGCAAAGTTCAGTTTCAATGCTTTTATTACAATGATAGTTAAAAAATGGAGAATGAGGGCGTTTGGTTGGGCTAAAGTGGCTTGCGATTAACAGCTGGCACCACTGGTGTGGCATTCCCTAATTTCTCCCGCAGATCGGCCGACTGATCTTAGGACAGGCCGGCAGACCTCGACTGGACGTCTCTGAAGGGTGTGAGGGAGGTTCTCAGTGACAAACATTTGGTCAAAAGTTTGTTGTTTTGACTCAGAACAACAAAAATGAAATAAAGTTGAACATTCAGATCAACACCATAACATTCCATCAAGTCCATGAAAGTGATATAAGTCACTGTCGCAGGTCTCAGGTCCAACTGTTGCAGCCGCAAAGATTTCTGCTCCGTATTAGAGGCTTGACCATGCCAGAGAACGTTGAAAGGCTCTGATCTGCATGTTCAAATTTTTCTGTCTGTTTTTTCGCCTGTTTCTGTTAATTAATTGTGATGTCTGTATTTATTTGGAATAAATAATTATGAATGGAATATCTGAGTCATCATTTCACACTGTTGCAATAATTTTATAAAGGACTCCAGGATGAAGTGGGCAGGACCAGAGTTCAATGCGCTAACCACTCTGCCACCGTGCCCCAAAAGTATCAAAAATGTAAAAACCTGCTAAAAAGATGCTTTGTATCTGGCTGAGTTGCTTGTCTGTGTCTGCTCTTATGTCAAATGTCAAACAAGCTCTTCTCCTGTTACAACACTTAATTTAAATAATACACCATGATGCATATCATTATAATTGTAACATTTTCATTTAATATTAATTAGGCCTATTAGTAGTACTAGTATGTTGAAGATTACGACTAGTGTTAGGGTTAACCTTGGGGTTATTAGGGTTAGTGCGGGTGTGGCATTTGGGGGCGTGGCGTTAGCGGGGAGCGGTGTTTACTGGGAGAGGTGTTTTGCTGGGCGGCTAGGCGCACACAAAGGCTGATCATCGCCGCTTGTGGCTATATTATTATTATTAGTTTAGTTTAATTTAGTTTTACCGCAGAATGTTGCGTCATATTTTAGAATTTTGGGAACAACCAATCAAATCTCTCAGGGTCACGTGAGGATTCCCTGTTGTCATGACGATTTGTCATAAAGTAGAATCCCTTTAGAATCATATAAAGGTCGTCCAGGTCCACATTTGGGTTCGTGTCTGGCTTTCAGAGGAGCAGGACGTACTGGTTTTCTCTGTGTGTGTTTTTACAGGTTTGTGGATGACGGCGGAAGATACCAGGGTTTTGGGCATGCAGGTGGGAACCGTGATCTTCGCCCCAGACTCCACTGACAACTTCGTGGTCCAGGAAATTCTTGGCGAGGGAAGTTTTGGAAAAGTGGTGCTATGTAAAAAGACCAGCTCCAACAAGACAGTGGCTCTAAAAGTCATCAAAGATGAGAGCTTCGTACAGTACGCAGAGGAAGAGGTACCCTCCGCTTTAAAGCACTTAAATGCACTTCTACAAACACTAAAATACATACATTTGACTTCTGTACTAGCGTTAGCAGTAAGAGTTAGTAACAGTACGTAGAGTTGAGTAACTTACTTACAAGACAGGTAAAGGCTTAAAGTATTATGTAGTAGTAGCAGTAGGAGTATTCTGTTGCTGTGTTCAGTGTTTGTACTCATACTACTAGTAGTACTAATAATCCTCCTTTTCCTCTACAGCAAGAGGTCCTGCAGGTGCTTCGTGAGTACGGCTCAGAGCACCATAACATAGTACGCTGGTTCAGTTCCTTTCGCTTCAGTGGCACATACTGCCTAGAATTTGAAAGACTGGACATCAGTTTGCTCGACTTACTGCAGCAAATGGAGACGCTGGTTCTGGGGGAGATTCGGTCCGTGCTCTTCCAGGTAGGTAGTATTGTCAGTTTTACACATGTGACAAATACAGAGAACATGTTTCTCAATTTTTCATAAATATGCAAAAGCAAGATTCAAAACAAAACACTATAACTTCACAAACCAGAGGCAATGTGCAGTAGTTTCATTAGCAGGAAGCACACCGATTGTGCTCTGAAGGTGGAGTGATTTTGAGCGGGGAGCAAAGGGAGGTAACATGGTGATCTAAATGTATTATGTGTTAGCAATTAATACCCCATAGAAGTGTAATGACCACTCTTTAAGGAAGTAAATACAGTGTCTGCCTCTTCTGGGAGTTCACATCAACACTACAGAGTGAAGTGAATGATAAATCAATCAATCAATCAAATAGATAAAAGTGTTAGAGTTAATGACTTGTTATTAATGTGTTTAATCTAAATGTGTAAATCCACTGTGTGTCTTGTAGTGAGTCAGTTGTAACCCATGCTTGTGGTTCCTCTGTGCAGGTGGCGACAGCCCTCAAGTTCTTGCAGTGTCTGGGTTTGATCCATGCAGACCTCAAGCCTGAAAATATCATGTTGGTGGACCACATGTCAAGTCTCCAGGTGAAGCTCATCGATACATGGTTCAGACACTTTGGTACAGGTATGATGCTTTATGCTTTATTTGACCATAATTAAAAGGAAATGAACATTCTACAAAACACACCATGACCAACAAACTGCATATATTTTGTTTTATCTCATTCCACATTATAAGATTTTTGTTTTGGGTGTTATATCAAAGATGCCTATTAGTACATATTATAATTCTTCATAGTAAAGGTGCTGTTTAGTTCTTCATATTAAAGTTGTTGCTTGTGTTCAGGGCTCCGGAGGTTGTGGTCGGGGCACGCTACAATGGGGCGATTGACGCGTGGTCCTTGGGCTGTATCGCAGTGGAGCTGCTGTCAGGACAAGCACTGTTCCCTGGAGTCGACACAGATGACTTGGTACCAGTCACATATTATACTACCAGTTATATACTGTACTTTACAATATAACCTGTAGACCTGACTAGTCCTGGTTTAGTCCTAGTTTTGTCCTGGTTTAGACTTAGTTTAGCCCTAGTTTAACCCTGGTTTAGTCCTGTTTTAATCCTGACTTAGTCCTAGTTTAGTCCTAGTTTAACCCTAATTTAGAGCTGGATTAGTTTTGGTATAGTGCTGGATTGTCTCTAAATATAATTTGTGTGTTGTAGCTGTGCCACATTGTACGGACGGTGGGGATACCTCTAGACTCTGTCCTGAGGGAAGGAATGCACACAGACTTGTTCTTCTACCAGAAGACCGTCAGGAACTCCGTCGTCTGGAAACTCAGGGTACTACACAGTTTATCTTTAGCCATGGAAAATGTTTATTATTATGTGAGGTTTGGGGCAGTTAGGTCTGTCAGCAATCACAGAGAATCATAGAGGCAGTCAAAACCACCTGATCCTAGTGTCTTAAAACATGAAAACCAAAACTAGTTCATTTTCCTCACTTACCTTGCAGTGACGATGCATTAACCAATAACTAGCACGCTAACCACACACCCTTTGATCATCAGGCAATAAAATGCTTTCTAAAAATAATAATTAAATAAAAAATGACAGCATGCAGCAGACTTACTTTGAGCTCAGAGCTGCTTATACAATATATCTGTACTGGGGACCTTGTTATTTATAGATGCTTTATTATATATTTATATGGGAAATGGTAACTTCAAGGTTTTCTCTGAATTATTGTTTCTCACAATCTGAACAAACTTGTACAAAAAATAAGCCATTCAATATCGGAAATCTGCCATTTGGAGGATTTTAGACACTGAATAATTTACCTATGAAAGCATTAAATCATAAAGCATAAATTACCTGAACAAATCTTGTTGAGGCAATTTCAGGCATACTGATATACTTTGCAATGTCATGTTTTAAATGTAAACCCTTGAGATTATTTTTTACTAAATAATTGTTTTTACTTTTTTTTTTCAGTCGAACAAACGCTGTCATACAAAGAGGACTCTCACCCGCTTGGAAGACCTTTTTACACTCTTATTTACAAACTTACTGCTAAACTATTTCCCTCTAAATAATTGCAGAGACATGTTGGACATAAAGAGACCAAAATCCACACCAGAGTCCAGATCCGAGTCTGGGACGCAAACCTTAAGACCCAGGAAGAGGAGTCTACTGGAGTCAGACCAGTCCAGGTTTGTTCAATAGGAAAATTATTTTACAAAACTGGTTTAGACTTTGTTTACACCTGGTTTAGACCTGGTTTAGACTTGGTTTAGACTTGGTTTAGACCTGGTATAGTGCTGAAATAGTCCTGAATAACAGCTACACTACATGCTTAACTAATTTTCTCTAAATAATTGCAGAGACACGCTGGACATGAATAGACCAAGATCCACACCAGATTTCAGGCCTGATTTCAGACCACATATCAGTCCTGTCCAGTCCAAGATCCAGACCAGACCTCAAGGCCCCGAAAGAAAAGCCGAGAGGAGGACAGCGGAGGAGAGAGGTTTGTCCTTCATTTATACTAACATGTTATTTCCACTGGGTTCATATCATTTGAATGTAATTCATTTTAGTCAGCTAGACAAAAAGTAATTATAATGACTGAAACTATTACTCAAATTACATCTATTTTCATTGACTTAAAGTAATTCTATATTTCTGTTGACTAAAAATTGAATGCATGAGTGGAGTAAATAACATGAGACTTTTGTTGACTAAAACTAGACAAAAGCTAAAAAGAATGATTTGACTTTTGGCTGAAATTAAAAAGACAAAAACTGAAATACATTTTTTTGTGAAAATGAACACCCCTAACCACACAATCACTAAGTCATGCCCGTTTTTTCTGTGTCCCTTCCAGGACCTGCTCATGACCCATAGAGGGCAGGATCCTAACAGCAGCTGCCTTCAAGCTGCTGTTAAACTGATATAGGGCTCTTTAAGCAGACCATAGTCGGTATGCAGTGCTGGCTCGGGTCTGCGTGGGGCGCTACAGAGGACAGAGGGGAGGGGAAGGGGGGCAGAGGACGTCAGACTGAGGTAAGTACTGATGTAGGGCTCTTTAAGCAGACCATAGTCGGTATGCGGTACTATCTCGGGTCTGCGTGGGGCGATTTGTGCGACAGTGGAGCAGAGCTGAAGCTGAGCAGGGAAGTGATGGAGGAAGAGGACGTTTTCTGCAGCGGAAACAACGACGTCACGAAGGTGCAATTTTCAGACAATAAATAAAGGTCACTGGCTGAAAACTATCCTCAAACTGTGGAAATTATTGTTTTGACTGCTTTAGTTATTTTAATATTATAATTTCATGTGCACACAGTACAATATTTTTGCTCACAGTATGAATGTATTTCATTCATTCAGTAAGATATTTTTGAGCTGTACAAACACAGATAATGAAATGAGTGCTTTTTTGTCTATGAAGCATCAACAATGTAGCCCTCACATCCAGTGTGTCTTAAGCCGTGTTCAGACCAAACACATCTAGCACAAACAAATCACGTCAAACGCCCCTAGTTTGCCGCTTGACTTTTTTGAGTCATTCGCTTCATTCGCGCATCCAAGACGCTCGAGTTTGGGAATTTGGTCATGCGACCGCGAATCTGTGTTTGCTCCAGAAGGATCAACAGCGGCTAAACAAACTAAAATATATACAGAAAATAACCTAAACTAAGAAAACAACTGGATTAACATATAACGAGTTTGTGCCACAAAAACGGGTCACGACGCAGGCTTACACGAAAACGAATGGTTAAACTGACGGACACACACAAACTAAAACACAAGTGCCCCAAGTAAACCACATGAACCCACAAACAGAACTGAGTGACCAAATTAAAAAAGGCACAAAACAAAACTAAACTACAGAACTAGACACACACGAACACAAAATGGCAGACTGGCCACCAAAGCCAGCAACCCCGAACAGGTGCTGCAATCTCCTTAAATTGGAGGAGGAGTCTGGAGGTGAGGCATGATTGGTCAGGTGTAGATGTGCCCCACCAATCACAGGCCAGCAAAGCAAAATCATTTAAACACACACAACAAATTAGAATTGAAGCTGGGGCCGTAACAGCGCCTTTACATAGAGTTAACATGTAAATCATTCGCCTTGTTCGCACCAGACATGTTCGGTTTGAACATGAGAGTTCTTAAGTACAGCACAGTACAGTTTACAGTACATCACACTGGGGTGTTCTGTATGTATGTCTATGGTGTAATGACACAAAGCACACATTAGCAATCACTGCCTGATACGTTTTTAGTTTGTCTGAATGTTCTAGAAAAATAGATTAAAACACATTTTCAGGAGTCTGATCAATACAAGTGTTCACGGCCCCATTTAGGAGTTAGATTTTTAACAAAAAGGTGAGAGCGACTAACTGAAAATGCTTGTGACAGTAATTTTATGTGAGAGGGACTTGTTTAACAGCACAAATCAGCTCACCTGTTAAGTCAGTTCCTTATGGTCAGATTGAGTTAAAATAAGTTCAACTTTAATATAGCTTTAAGTAACAGAGCTTCAGACAGAGCAGTGCCTCTAGTTAGTTATAGGACTCACTCTTGTGCGTGAGCAGGGCAGTGATGGCGCTGGTCGTCGCTGGTCGTCGCTGGTCGTCGCTGGTCGTCGCTGCCTGAAACACTTTGGCTGACGAGGAGTGAAGCAGAATGGAAGCCATCAGCTTTCTGTGAACTGGAGTCCTGGAAACATAAACACGTCTTTTAGCTCAGGGAAAGTAGAAGTAGTAGAAGCAGTGTAGGTTTTTTCATATAACAAAGTGAAACTGGGGTGGACCGCCCAAGCACAGTTAATCAGAGCGGTATTTACAGATTTTACTTCTGGGTTATCAATAACGTGCTTCATTTTTAGATGTCCTATTTCACAAGGTATATTATTAAGGTATATTATTTCATATTATAAGGTATATTAAGGAATGAAAGAGCTGATGTCAAAGTTCACCTGTGTCCCTGATCCTCTTCAGACTGGTTCACTCCAGCTCCCTGCAGTAACAGGCTGTGAATCACCCAACTCACCGCCTCCTAAAAAATAAAATACAGATGCAAAAAATCCCACAACATTTATTTGAATACATTTTGGTGAGTTCAATTTCTCACTTTTTCCTTATAAAAGTTATATTGCTCTTAAGAAAAAAAGTATTTAACTCAAAGGTGCACTGTGTAACGTTGCAGGTGAAGGAGTTGCCACGTGTCACTCACTGGAAATGTTCTTAGTGATATGTTTCACAGTACCACATTAAATACTGCTATTTTGCCAAAACATATTTAAAAAACATGTATTGTTATTGTAAGCAGGGTCCCCTGTTCATAGACCTAACCTGTAACTAGGCCTGGTTGTACAACCTGCTTGTCTCCTTGGAGGTAGATGTGTTTAATGCCATACTGTGGAACATTCAAGTTATATCAATGACATTTCAATACATACCAGCATGGGGCAGACGCTCCACTAGAAAAGTCACACAGTGCTTATATATTGCACTTGAAATAAGTGACTAATCCATGTGTACTTAAAGGAGACATATTGTGCACGTGTCTGCTGTAGATCTATAATATATGACACACATGGATCATTATGTTATAAATTGCACATTTTAACCAAATCAATGTTCTGCATGTATGCGGACACCACATTGTCAAAAGTTCATTTTGCAAAAATAAGGCAGAACACCATCACAAAAGTCTAGTCTTTCTAAAACAGTCCATTTTGTCCATATGTTGGTGGGTGCTGTCATTTTTTGGTATAACATGGTAAAGATGGGACTTTTTTTTTTTTCTTTCCCCATTTTTAACACTTTATATCTTCTAGACTGTTCATCACAGAGGCTCAGTTTTAAAGTACAAAGTACACAGCATGTGTGTGATAAGGTTTATGTTCAATATCAAACCTCTGTCTTTGAAATTGCTCTTTCCACAGTTCTTCAAAGACGCCCTTAAATTTGAAGAGTAGAATTTTCAAGCAAATTCAAGCCCCCAAAAATCTGTGATAAACTAAAAGCACAAGTGTAAAAGTCCAAAGAACATTTGCCAATTTTTAACCCTTGAAAATTTGAAGCACCTACCTTAAATGTTTTTTTTTTTTTTTACATACAACAATCTGAAAGAAATCTGACATGGTCGGATGCGGGCATTCGGAGATTTGGCGTGGAATGACTCAGTAGTAGACTGCATAATAAGTCTATATACAGGCCTATATTATAATGCCAAATTGTGAACCCTCCACCAGAAAATTTACATAGTGCAGCTTTAAAACAAACAGTTGCTACTCACTGATATTAAGTTTAAAATGATTTCTGTCCCTGATCTATTTTGAATTCATCAGGAGGTTCACTACATGGACTAGTTTTACTCCACTGCAGTTCCAATGAACAATATGAACTGAACTGAACTGAAGTGAAATGAAAGTGTTTACCCTACCTCTTGAATATTATATGGCTCTGTTTATTCTTTTTATACTGCCTGCCTATATGTAGATGGCTGTAGTGAGCAGATTTACACTTTTATAAGGACAGAAGCAGAGGAAGAGGGCGTGCTCAGACAAACCCACATGAATGAAAAGTGCTCTGTCATCAAGAGGGCACTTCCTACAGTGAGAGACCTGTGTTCTGCAGAGGTGAACCTGTCTGTTTATATTTTTGTTCATCCATTAAAAGGTAAGTAAAGGTATGTTTTAAATCAGACATTTTGCTAGTTGGTTTATCAGGATGAGTACAAAGTTATCTTAATGTTAGCTTTTCCTGCAGCCAGCCTTTATGCAAACAATTTGACTTTTAACCCATTCACCTGTGATCCACCACTGGCCCAGTTTTTCAAGTTACAACAAATGAGTCATGTGTTATAAAATCTGTTTTTTCTGCTGTGTACATTATCGCAGAGTTACCTAAAATTTTACTCATGTATTAATAATGTTACTTCAAAATAATATTACTCAAGTGAAAGTACAAAGTAGTGTTTCAAGAAATGATGCAAGTAGGAGATTAAAAAATATTTGAATAAAGTACTGCTCAAGTAAAAGTGACTTAAAAACATAACTAAGGATGTAACATCTGATTGACCATTTAAAGTTGATATAATTTGAAGAACAAAACGTTAAATAATTCACTAATATTTTCAAAGAAAAATTTTAAAAATAACATTTATATCTTCATTATCTTTATATCACAAATGTTCAAATCATTTTATATTGCTGAGATAAAGCTTTTGTCACATTTAGACTCTCTGAAAGTGGGAAGAGTAAAAAAAATTTACTCTTTACTCAAGTAATAGTACTATTACTTCAACAAATTTGTTCAAGTAGATAATATATTTTATGTAGGCAAAAAAGTGCATGCAATTAAAATCCAAATAGTTATTAACTTCAGTAATAATCAGAGCCTATATTGGAAAATGTACAAGAAGTAATAGTTTATACCTTAATCTTATTAAGATTAAAGGAGTACTATTTCACTTTTTGCAGTACAGTCTGCCACCGTCTTGCATTGCAGTGTTTTTCAATATATGCTTGAGCAATAAAACACTTGTAACTGAAACATTTAAGAGGGATACGTTTAATGCCACGCTGAGGAACTTTCCAGGCAAAGTAATAACATCTCCTTGGAGGCAGGAAGGTGACATAACCACCTAAATATTACATAGTGCACCTTTAATATTGTATAAAGTACAGTTTATAATCCAGGCCCATTGCTTGACCTGCCTGTAACAGTCGTATCTTATGCCCACTGTGTTGTCTTCAGGAGAGAAGCAGCAGTCCTCATGTCAGGCCCTCAGAAGAACCGGGTCATGACCCTTGAGGAGTGGGAGAACATGTGGCAGCGAGGAATGACAGGATTCCACCAATCCACTGTCTACAGGTAAGAAACACTATAACTCTTACTGCACAATTTATAACTTTTCTGGTGGGGGTCAGTATGAGAGGAGCTCACTCGTCCATCTCCACAGATTAGACCTGTAGACCTGTTTATATAAATGTAAGAACTGCTCTGAAAAGGCTGCAAATGAATTGCCCTCTGGGACCAATCAAGTTTTCTGAATTTGAATCAATCTTAAACGCTTTCTCTTTCATTTTTACCTCTGCCATTAGTTTGCCCTTTTTGGTTAATTTCCTCACAAGCTGCACAGATGGGATCAATCCAAAAGAAATCTGAATTCTCGCATCACATATAATTATTTCCATAACATATCAATAATCTGATAACTCCAGAAATCAGATAATGATCAGATTTTGGTGTGTATGTAAATGAACATCTGTTTCATTTAACAGGCTGCTTCAGATCAACATTGACAAAGTGTTAGCAGGACGCTCTGGAGTCAAGTTCTTCTTCCCTCTCTGTGGAAAAGCTGTAGATATGAAATGGTGAGTACTCACTACAACTACTACTACTAAATCCTTCTACTACTACTAGAGTTGCTACTACTACTACTGCAAATATGACTACTACTAATACTACTAATACTACTACAACTTACAAGCGGTTGGTTGCTTTGTGTACTCCACAGGCTTGCAGACATGGGTCACACTGTAGTTGGAGTGGAGATATCTGAAAAAGCCATTCGTGAGTTTTTTGAAGAAAGTAAAATGAGTTACAGTGAGGAGAATGTACCAACCATCCCTGGAGCAAAGGTTTTCAGGGTGTGTTAAGTGTAATAAATAGGCTATTATAGTGATTATTGTTATGTATAGTTTTATTGCTCATGGAAACATGATAACTATGTATTGCTGCTACTAATGGCGCTGTCTTTTACAGAACGCTGAGAAAACAGTGTCAATCTATCAATGTGACATCTACTGCTTCTCAAGGTAGTGTAGTCACCTTTTTCAAACATATGCATGGGCTTAATAACAAGATATTTTCAGACAATAGAATGTGTTTCTAAAATAGATTCTAAAACAGTTCAGCAAAAGGTCATATGTTATTCGGTTTATGTGATAATAATCAATACTAATCATTTAGTATTGATTAGTATCATATTTTTAATTGGTGGTGTTCAGGCTCTAGAATGTGATCGTGTCATACTCCCAGATAGGGGGCTCGATTACATTGTACTTTGGCATGAAAAATCTAAAAGGTAAATTCACAAATTTTGAATTATTTCTGTTAGTCACAAGATCCTCACTGTATTACAAAAGAAATCAGCATTTTAACCATATTATTTTTAGCTGCCCCACATCTGTGTTAAATATTAGTGATACCATTAGTGTTGTGATGACATCTCAAGTGATTACTTAAATAGTCAATATGCCATGTCCTTTGGATGGGGTCACAGTGTGGAGTTGAGTTTGCATCATCTCCTTGTTTCTGGATGTGTCTGCGCTGGGATTTCTGGTTCACATCTCTGGTCATAATGGTCATGACATTTAAGAAACACATTAAGCACCTTACAAAAACTGTTCATTTTAAAAACTGTTAGTTGTAGATGATTGCATAACCACATGGTCACTTGCTGCTGGCACAACACTCAAACTCATCGAATCACTTTTTTAAAAAGCCATAAAAATATTGAACAAGAAACCATTCTCATTTCACCACTGTACTATTTTAGATAAGTACAGTCTGATTAATTTTAATAATTTTGTTGATTTTAAATATGGATGTTTTATCTATAAAGTTTTATAAAGTCCTCCGTTACAGGATTTGATTAAAGTACAGACTGTCAGTGGGATGGGAACTAGGGCCACAGGCCGGGGGAACTGTGAGCTCCCACACAGATGCACCACATTTGGACAATGTGTGTCTCAGTCAGAGGCACTAAATTTTGGAACAGTCTCACATTATCAGTAAGAGAGACTCCAACACTGGATACTTTCAAATCCCACTTGAAACAGTGGCTAAAGGAAAACCAGACTTGTGGACATTTTTAGTTTAGAACTGTCACTTGTTTTTGTTGTTTTTTCTTTGTTAAATTTGTGGTGTCACCTGCTGAGGGACTGCAGATAGAAATTAGCATCCTTGTTATAATCTGGCATGTTTACAATGCAGTGTTGTAGATGTTCATTAATATGCACTGTCCCTTTTAAATAAATAAATAAATAGATAAATAAATAAATAAAATAATATCATCTGCAGATCTCTTTTATGGACACACAAAGATGCTTTAAAGATCATTATTTATTCATTCTACAGTCAGTGTGCACACCTGCCAAGGGACAGACTGACTAATACAAGGCTGCCAATCTGCGTCTGGCCCTTTCAACCACCACCACTCACACACCACATTCATACTAGGCAATGTAGCTCAAGTGTCTTGCCTGAGGACAAAGGCGCCCCACTGTGGCACAGGATTTTCCTAGTGGTCTGCCATCCAAGTATTAACCAGACCAGCCTTCCTTTTGAGATCTGACAATCAGGCCATAATGTATTCATGTTATAAGTTCAAATATAAGTTAAACTGTGCGATCTTTAACTTTGTGTTGTGTGTTTTTGCATCAGCCTATAGTTGTGAATCCCTCCTTTAATCTGTTACTATACAGTTCTCTTGAGGGTCAGTTTGGAGCCATTTGGGACAGAGGAGCTCTCGTCGCCATCAACCCAAAAGACAGAGACAAGTAGTGTTTCTTGTCCATACATTTTTATGTTACGATATTTATTTTACTTTTTAACTATTGTTTCTCTGAATTCTCCAGGTATGCTGCTCTGTTGGTTTCACTGATGGCTCCTGGCTGCAGATTCCTTTTGGACACTCTAATCTATAATCCTGAAAAATATTCCGGTATATTTCTATTCTTCTAATACCAGTTATGATCAAAGCACCTCTATCTGCTTTTGTCTTGCCGAGATACAGATATTTTGTACAGTATGAGCAGCTCTTCAGGTCAATATAAGTGTGCCTGCCTCTAATTATAAAGCATTTTATTGTCCAGAAGCAAGAAAAGTGTGTTTGCATGCTAGTTGTTGTAGCTTTACTCCTGGGCTCAGAGATTTCTGAAAAGCATTTAGAAACTCAAGTGAGGAATAACTTTGGACCTGTAAACCCTTTAAAATGAACTAGTTTTTCACATTTTTAAGACAATAAAACTCAAATATAGCACTTTTTTAAATAAATAGCTTTAACACGGTTACAATATTGTTCACTCCGTTTCTTCTGTATGTGCATTTTACTCTTTAGGTCCTCCATTCTTTGTACCTGATGAACAAGTCCGTAGTCTGTTTGGTAAGTGTTGAAAAGATCATGAATTCCCTTAAATATTCATCTATAAATCTAACATGTATTTTCAGGGTCCTCTTGTGATATAGAGCCGTTACAAGAAGAGGACGCTTTAACCGAGGATTTTAAAAACTGGGGTATGGACTTCCTCAGAGAGAAAGTGCATCTCTTAGTTCGTAAAAGCTAATGAAGAATATTGCCTGCATTGCCAGAGAAATATAATTGTATTTCTGTAGATGTGCCAATGGATGTTTGAAAGTTGAACTGAAAATATGTACAGGTAGAAGTTTATTATTATGGAGCCCCTGGTCCTGGAAGTAAATTTCCCATTCATTTTTCTTATAGACTTTCCGATTATTTAAAAAAAAAAAAATTAAAAGTTTAAAATCTTGCTCAGGGCTAACTAATGACGGCAAATCTGTTTCTAAACTTTTATAGACTGTATAACACTGATCTTTGTTATAATGTTTCATTGTCAAAAACAGACCTGGAGTTGTGTTTTGTTTCATGTTTAACACACAAATGTTCTTCTCTCAGACAGAAAACAAACAAGCAAGTGCTCCATTTTTAAACTCCATACAGCTTCACGAGAATTTCTTTATTTGTTTATTTATTTCATTCATAAAGTATAAAAAGACATCAGCAGTGTCACAACATCAAACATACAAGAAAAGGAGCAGAAAGAAGAGTCATCTTATGTTTTCTGCCCGCTTTTCCCTTCTCAAGACAAAACAACACCGACGGTTACTTTAAAACATTTCAAAACTGTACATTTCAGTTCAGGCACAATTATTAATCAACTGCAAACAGAAATCTTCACTATTTTGCACAACAATTTAGTTTCCTTTTTCTTACATACACATTGCATTCGATTTTATGTGTTTTTAAATGTAGAAAAAAATCCCACACACTGTCTTACTCGCAAATTGTGAGATTTATTAGGACAAACCGTGCAGCGTTTTAGGTACACTGTTTCTTTACGACCTGTCACCCTTGGGTGCTTGCCACACCCTATTTAAAAATGGCCACCTGAGCTCTCATTTTGTTTGCCTGACAAAGGCCAAGTGCCGAAACACTGCACGGTTTGTCCAAATAAATCTCACAATTTGCAAGTAAGACGGTGTGCGGGATTTTTTTTCTATGTTCTAGGGCTGCTCCCTCTCCTCCAACGTACCTGTCTCAAGTAATTAATATGTGAAGTTCTCATTTTTTTATGTGTTTTTTAATACTTGATTCTTTTATATCTTTATCAAGACTATTTCATAAATTAACTCCTTTCACAGCGACGCTTTGCTCCATAACCTTGGTTCTAAATCTGGGTTCTTTAAACACGTAGCTTCCTTTTAAGTTGTAGTGGCTTGTTCTCGTCTCAAACAGTCTTTGAATACTTACAGGTAATACACTGGACTTTGCACTTCAACAATATCATGCATTTTCAATGTTTTAAGTTGAAGTTAAGTTTAAGTTGAAGAATCGTTTGGATAATTTCAGCCCTATTGCCAATCTTTACTGAACTTAAGGTGAAAAGTAGCCACATGACATCACAGTGGAGCAGAGCACTGGAGCTGTAGACAGATAATAATGATTAATCAAACATGTGAATGAAACAAAACACAACCCTGGATACATGTTTGATGTAACACAACACAGTTAAAAGCTCACAAGGATCAATGCTGTGAAATATAGGACCTTTAAAAGATTTCACCGAAAAGTCACTGGGATAAATTAATGGAAAATAATGTATTTACAGAACCTGTGCAGGATGGATGGAACGTGTTTACTATGTTCTTATCTTTAATTTATGATGATGGAACATGTATCTTAGCAATTTCAATAAATGTATTTCTTAGATTTTTGTGTATAGTACATGTATTCAATAAGTCTATTCATTCTACACGTAACCTTATTTTATTTTTTTGATACTCACACTGTCATCTAATCACACGTTTCACTTCCTTACATTAAAAACATTTCAAACGTTTCCTGCATGGTGGAAACAGGCTCTTTTGTCGCACTAGAATGGCTTCACTCTTATTGGCTGTTGCTGGGATACCACAAACAGGAAGTAAGTGGCTAAGCTTCCAGAGGAGTTTTGTTCAGTCACACGTGCTGAATAAAACATATTACTGAGAGATACCATGAGTGCAGGTCGCTGGGAGTGGAACTATGAGGCCAACACTGTGGAGTTTATCAGGTAAAATAAACCAAATGAAGTTATATTCATAATCTGCGGTGTATTATAAAGGCTGCTATTCTGCTGCACAGTTATATGTTTCTTTCTTTCTTAGCTTGTTACCTCCAGAAAAGCCTGTTGTTAAGAAAAGAAGACCAACTGATGTCCATTTTGAAGAGATTCTCCAGAAATCTGAATGGTACCTGCAGAACTTTAAATAAATGTGCAAAATATGAACAAAAAATGACAACAGAATCATTTATTAGGCCTCTTTATAACTTTTAAAATAGATCTACTCGTAGCTACACTCCACAATAGTACTATTTATCTATTTACTCAATTAATTATCTATATACACATCAAAATATGCAACAGAATCCTTTATTAGACCTACTTATAATGTTTCAAATATATCTTAATTGTAGGCTATGCAAGTAGAAGGAATACTATTATATATTTTTTTACTGAATTTACCCTAACTTTAAAATGAGCAAAATACAAACAATAAATACTGCTGAATATTTTATAACTTATACAATTTCAAATCAAACATGTTTTTAGTTTCAAATAATCATATTTTAGGCAACCAACAAGAAGCAATACTATAACTAATTACTGAAACCAAAATTGCAATTGTATATATATTTTTTAGAGATTTTTATTCGAAAATGAAATATCTTTATAGCTGCACCCGAATGTGAGCATAATTACTATATTTTTTTATCTAATAATTTAAACAAAGCCAAATTCAAATTCATTTCCTTTTCAGGCTGGCAGAAATTTACCGTGTGAACAACAGAGGGCGCCAGAGCACAATCAAAAGTCTGGACCCTGCTCTTTTGAAAGCCTACAGATCTAGTGTGATAGAAAACCAGGGGGAGTACGTGACAATTGAAGATGTTAAACGCAAGTATTTTTTATTTTTCATAGTTAATTTGACATTATCATTATATTTTCCATGTAAACATTGACCTATAGTGTTATATCTAACGCTGTGTTTAGAAGTGGCTGTGAAATTGCTGCTTGAGAACTACTCCCTCCCCATACCTCACTGCTTCCTGGACCTATTAAAGTAAGAGTTACAAATGATCGTTGTCCCTTTGAAGGCGTTGTAAAAATAACAGATCATCTCCTTTTTTTTCATTTTAGGAGTAAAGAGCTTGATGAGATCCTGACTGCTCTTCTGCGTTACCTCTGCTGTTTCTTTGAGTGCAAATCTCTGGAAAACAAGCCAGAGGCGCTGATAGTGTAAGTGAAAATGTTTTTAACTGAAGAGGGAGATATGTCCTGGTGTTTTCTTTAAAGCCAATTTGTAACTTTTTTTTGGGTCAAAACAGAACAAAAAGCAGTTAATTTTCGCTTGTTTCTGTGGAGACCTGACTGCTCAAAATGTATTTAAGAAGACTCCTGCACCCGCCTCTCATTCTTGGTTCACTTTTTATAAGTACAACAATTCAGCACCAACAGTGAGACTTCTTGAATACATTTAGAGCTGTGTTTATTGCACTGAGAAACATAAAAAAAAAGTGTCCTTACGCTGGCTTACATCTCTACAAACATGGCTCATCTTCGGCCACATTTCACAGACATTTTATCTCCAGTCTTCTGAAGTATGGTTTTAACTTTCTCTTTCCACAGATTCAGATAAAATTTTGCTGAAATGTGTGCTTGTTTAGGTTGAAGTTCAAATATGGATCAAATATTAATTAATCAAATTGTCATTTCAGTCATTTCAGTTTTAAAATGTCAGTGATCAGCCTTTAAAGGGACAGTTCGGAATTTTGGACATAGGACCTTATTTCCTAGTGAGCCAGAGTGTAGGAGACGTGTGGAGACACTTTAAAAATATTTCATCCAGTCCTTGTATTTGCAGAGGTCACTGGTGCACTGGTGCATGTTAATGACCATAGTTATCCTGCCACTAAAAACAGTCTTACCCACTCCACAAAACACCCGAAGCAAATCTGTTATTACACCAGACTGTCGATGTAAATATCTGTGTTAATAGAATAATGTTTGAACTAAAACTAACCTTGCATTGCTTGAATTGTTGCATGTTGAGGGACTACTAAGGTTTTGCGTCTACGTCACAAAACCATGTGACCTAGTGTTTATGCCGCCACATTGGAGGTCAAACTATCTACTGGACCAGCATGTAGTATTTGTGTGCAATAAAATCTGAATTGATTAACAATGGTTTTGACCTGCACTGCTATTGGATGTTGTGGCCGAAGTCAGTCTGCTAAAGAAGAGGTTAAAGTATCTTTCTATTGGATCCTGGCTGATAAAGATCGCAGACAGAGGTGGATAGTGGCCATAAAAAAGAGAGGGATGGAGCCCACTGAGTACAATCGTCTGTGCAGTCAACATTTTATTTCTGGTGAGGGACCATCTCCACACAAACGAAGAAGGGATTTACATTAAATGAAATGATATATACCAAAAGTATTTTTTTCTCGTAGGTACGAAGAACAATAATACTCTTTCACCAGATTACGTCCCAGTGAAAGCCAAAGCAACACGTTCGCTTATTTCCTATGAAAGAAGATCTAACATGACAAAACTGATACTGGAGGTTAGGCACAGAACGAGCGTTGATTAAACTAACAAAGCAGTTTGTCTGAATTATATCTGTATTAATCTATTCCACAACCCAGGAGGACGACTTTAGTTTTATACCTAACCTACCTCTATATTCTAACGACTGCTGATTGAATGAGGTGGCGATTTCGGACGGTTTTACGTCGTTTGCGCTGTTTAAAGTCGCCATGATTATACTGTAAACTGAATAACATCATCCGAATCAACCCCAATCTTGACCTCCAGTATGGCCACCAAAACATTAAATCACGTGACTGCTACGTCACACGCAAATCCTCAGTTTTCTCATATATCAGTCCGCCGCTGTCAAGCTTTCTATCAGGAAGTCCAACTGCTGCTGCTCAGACATAAATCCTTTAAATGCAAGATTAGCTTTACTTCTAAAATTATTCTATCAACACAGATTACATCAATAGTCTGGTGTTATCATTGATTTGCTTGGGTGTTTTGTGGAGTGGGTAAGTTTAATGGCAGGATAACTATGGCCATTGATATGCACTAGTTTAACACCAGCGACCTCTGCAAATACAAGGACTGGATGGAATATTTTTAAAAGTGTCTCCACACGTCTCCAACACTCTGGCTCACTAGGAAATGAGGCACTATGTCCAAAATTCCGAACTGTCCCTACAATAGAGTAGCCTTCAGCCTATCCTGTGTCAGTCAAATGTGGTTTGGAGCAGATGGACGACTTTGGACGAAGAAATTGTGTTTTTGTCTGATTTTGTCTGATTATTGAAGTACTGTTTTTCTTCAGGAAGTAAATATTTCTCTAATTTAATTGTAAAAAATACCACAGTTGGGAAAATTACAGTGCAAACTTTTGTTGTTTTGTTTATCTATACTATTTTTCTCCTTTATTTGTATTAATGTTTTTAGCTCAAACCAACAATTCAAATGTTAAAATGCTGACGTTATCTTACCCATTTGTAGATCTTATACATGTTTACTGCACCTGTTCTGTGTCCTTAAGCTGCCAGTGTTTTTTTTTTTTTTTTTTTTTTCATATTTAGTTTGGACATGGTGACGGAGCAGCAGATGAAGAAGAGGAGCTCTGCCAAAACAGAGCTGGCTCTGAAGAGGCTGGCAGTGTGTTACTTCAGTCTGATCCTGGACACAGACACAGGACACAAGCAACTCATGTAAGATAAAAGCTGCACTGGGAAACTTTTCTGGTGGTCTTCATCATGGATATGTTACGGCTTTGCTTGGTTGTATCTATATCAAGCATTTATTAAAGTGGGACTAAACACCTAAACTCCTCCTGAAACTGCATTTCAAATAGAGCTGATAAATAGGCTCTATTCACGCTTATCTCACAAACCAGGAAGATATTTGGAAACATGCGATTACAACTTCCAGAGGCTCTTTTCGTGGTAGTAAGTCTGACAAAATCTAGAAAACATCCCAGTTTTCTTCATCTATGTCACTATAGTGTTCCATTGTTTTCAACTAGTCAACTACTATGGTCACATTTTTCTATAGTACTTTTCCACCTTCAAGGCACTCAAAGCAACAATGTACCACTCACCCATTCTCATAGACACTGTGGGCAAGGTGGGTTAAGTGTCTTGCCCAAGGACACAACTGCAGCATTCATCTGTGGAAAGTATCTTTCCAATAGAAAGATACTTTAACCTCTTCTTTAGCAGACTGACTTCGGCCACAACATCCAATAGCAGTGCAGGTCAAAACCATTGTTAATCAATTTAGATTTCATTGCACACAAATACTACATGCTGGTCCAGTAGATAGTTTGACCTCCAATGTGGCGGCATAAACACTAGGTCACATGGTTTTGTGACGTAGATGCAAAACCTTAGTAGTCCCTCAACATGCGACGATTCAAGCAATGCAAGGTTACACACCAAAACACACCAGCCAACATGTGGGTCAGTGGATCTGACCACTCAACCTGCGGTGTTTATGTTGAGAGCTGGATTCGAACCGCCAACCTCCAGATCAGTGGGCAAATGCTCTACCAACTGAGCTACTGCCGCCCAATTACAACCATACCTCAGTTTTCATCATTTCCCCACTGACACACAACTCCGAGCGCACTGGGTACATGTAATTAGAAGAGATGAGATGAAGATTATTCCAAGCAGAACATACATATGCAGTCTTCATTTTACCACTAATCATCATTGGGTTTTATCAAAGTCGGTCGGCAAGCCCAGTGTCGGTAACTACAGAAGTTGTAATCGCATCTTTCCAATTGCCTTCCTGGTTTGTGACGTAAGTGTGAATAGAGCCTACTGGAGGACTAAAGGGGGAGGAGAGGAGGAGTCTGGACATATAAGGACCAGTGGGATTGGTTTAACAGGCAGCAGCATCGGACGGGGGGGGGGTAAAGGGCACTGTTTACCCAGGGCCCAGTGTAAGGACGGGACCCTCGTAAAGTCTTTTCACATGCATTTTTCATTAGACAACATGTAGATAGTGTGGGCCCTACAAGAAACATTTGTATCCAAGGCTTCCAGGTATCCACACTTCAGATTCTGCCCCTGTTGTGTTTATAATCAGAAACCTCTGGCTGTACTCAGGGCAGTACAGTGTGATGTTACATAGTACTTGAAATTGCAGTAGCCACCGAGGGCAGCAGTTTTTTTAACACAAAGCTGCAAAAGTATTGATTTTGATTTAGTGTTTAGTTCCACTTTAAATGACAAAACATATATATAATTAAAAATACAAAAAAAATCAATGTTGTAATTATGCTGGTGTGTCTGTTCTTATATTATCAAAGGTTTTCTTATGTTTCAGGAGCCGGATGTCCTCGGATCAGACTGAGTGGCTTCTGGAGGGAGTGAGTACTTCTATCAAACTTCCTCTGAACTCAGCAGAGACCTCGACTGACACAGAGTCTGCACAAGTCTGATCTCCTCACACTCACCAGCCAACATGTACAAACAGCCCCACAAGAACTGACTCATGTACTGAAGTGGGTTATAACTTTTGGAAAAAAATAAAATAAAATAGAGACAGTACGTTTATAACCCCATACTATTACTTCTTATGGTTAGCTGTAAGATTCTGTCCAAGCCTATAACCATGCTCAGACACATTTCTGATAAAAAACTGTACACTACAACTTGACGCGATGTGCAGTAGTTTCATTAGCGGGATACGCGCTGATTGTGTTGTGATAGTGCTCTGAAGAGGGAGTGACTCAGCGTGGAGAGCAAAGGAGAGGTGTCTCAGAGCATCGAAAACCTAGAGAAACTTATAAAACATGTTAATGCGTTGTTATCGACAAATATAGCATTTTCAAAACAAAAAAAGGTAACAACGTGAACTAAAAATGTGACGTGTTAGCAGTTAATACCCCATAGAAGTGAAGTAAAATACCTCCTCTTTAAGAAAATGTATAATAAGACAGAAGAATCTCAACATACTCACCATACAACACACACAAGCTACTTATTGGTACTTCAAAGTGCACTGTGTAACTTTTCTGGTAGAGAGTCCATCACCAGCTTCTCTCCATTACCTGGAATGTTCCACTGTAAGGCATTAAACTTACTAGTATTTATCTCTACAGAGACAGCGGGTGATGCCATAGGACCAGGTAACATGTCAGATCCGAGGAGAAGCAAGCCCACTCACAGAAATCAATATTTTTAAGTACCGGTAAATAAAAAAACAATGTTATTGAGTAAATGCAAGGAACAACAACATCTCCATAGAGACAAGCAGTTGCCAGAGCCTCCACGAGAAAAGTTGCACCTTGCACTTTTAAAATTGAGTAAAATCTACCCAGCTCTACCCGCCAATACTTTTGTACACACTTTATGTTATTAGGTTCTTTTTTAATACCTGACAGTTTCGACTGCTCACTAGCGCTCTTCCTCAGAGTGGTCACGTGATGTTGTTGTTACGTGTCCGGTCAACTGATTTAAACAGGTTTTGGTGCTGTCTTCCTATCGGAGGAGGCAGGATGACAGCGCCAACTGTAGTCCAGCTTCCTCAGTACAGTATCCTAGATGTGTGAGAGTAAAAAAGCCCCCTCATCCCGGTTTATCGTCCCATGGCATGTTTCCATATTTCAATTGCCTCTTTAATCCAGCGACGATGTTTGTTGTCTTGTGTCCCAGTGGTCTTTACTCCGTCGCAGTCCATAATGTGGTTCTCGCTTTTACAGTGGTCAGAGATGGCCGATTTCAGTTGTTCCTGCTTTGTGCGCGCCTTCGCTGTTTCCTTCTCGCATTCGCAAAAAACAAAACTAAACGAATAACATAAATTATCCGAAGACCAAATGAACCTCAGTGAACTTTTGTACACACTGAAAAATACCCCTTGCATTGGGAAAAATGCCCCTTGTAACGGGCCCCAGGGTTTTAGGAGACCAGAATTGGACACGCTTCCTATTAATTTATATTAGACGGGGGCCCGTGTGAACTTTCTTGCCCCGGGACTCCAAATTTCTGTTGACGGGCCTGCAACTGACCATATGTGAATAGGGGCACAGTGAGCACACAGACTGACATTGACTGGTGGTGTTTGCCGGTGGCTTCGTGAATGAATTAGTCATAGGTCTGGTCTGGGATGTTGACTGCGCACAGGTGCTTTGCTTTGACAGGTGCGTTGCTTTGACAGGCGCCCTCTGCAGTGTTTAGCCAGGTGGGTGGACAGGAGACAAATATCACGCCAACTGCACCTGCCTATTAACCTGCGCTGTGTGGCACCCGAGGGATATGAATAGTACAGAGATTCTGACAGGCGCAGTCCGGAAAGGCAGGGTACTGTGAGGTCAAGGCAAGGAAATATAAAAGAAATTACATATAGCTGCACCTCTCACAGTAAGATTTTTTTATTTCAATGTATTTTTCTCAGCAGTAAAAATGTTTAAAAATACAAGTGCTGTGAAACATTCCAGATTCCATTTCCACGAAGACCGTTAGACACCAGAAAAGTTACATAGTGAGTCTGTAAAGGTGCTATATTACACAAAACTGACTCTTGTGAGCTTTAAACCATTTTATAATATTATTACCTCATCAATTATCAGTCTGTCTGCATCTCCAAAGCGCAAAATGCTCTGTTCTATGACACAAAGCAGTAGTATCTTACTTTTTGTTCAGCAGGAATAGGCAATTCCAGGGCTGAAATGATCCAAATGATTCTAGTGAAGATGTGTGCAGTGTAAAAACACAATGGAGCACTTCCTGTTTCACCACATGGCATCAAGGTGGAACAGAGTGTTTTCTGTTGGAGAGAAGAACTCAACTACGCAGGGTTTGTGTGTTAAACTTGTGTGAATGAAACAAAACACAACTCCTGGTATGTTTTTGAGGCGATAACAACATTATAACATGGCTTAGAGTCACTTAGGATGTTTAAATTCAGTGTAATTCTTTCTGTTTTCAGGTTTTATACAGCTTCTTCTGCAACGTGTCCTGGGTCACTTTTGGGAGAAAAGAGCTGAAGGAGATCCAGGATGAAATTGGTCGGATTTTGTACTCAGACAATTTCAATGCCATCGTGAAAACCAAACAGGAAATGCCCTCGCGGAGGACTTCTGCTGTTTCCACTGGCTCAGAGAAGAAGGAGTTCAGCACAGGAGTTCAGCACACGGCAGCTGAAGGTCACACTGCTCTCAAGCTACGGTTGGTATAAACAAATCACTGTATTCATGGGTAACACAGAAAGAATGAAAATGACCGTAGTTACCATAGCGATAAACAATTTAAACCAAATATTACATCTTTTGAAATGGAATTCATTCAATGGAATTCATTCATTCATCAGATGTTTCAAAATGTTGCATAACAGGAAGCTACAAGTCCAAGGGCTAATGTTATATTTTGCTTGGTGTGACCATGGCAATGCCTGAAAGCACCCATTTTATTCCACTGGGAGTGATCCCAATATTCCTATTAATGAAAAAATAATTGTTTTATGTAAGAAGACGATGTTTGGCACAGTTCTTCATGTCATCCTGGCTCAAAAAAAGTCAGTGGGACCCATGTTATATTTTGCATGGTGTTGCCATGGCAATAAAGCATCCAATGTGCACTGTCATAATCATGCATGTTTAGTTAGTACACCCCAAAGCCACAATATCACAGAGATTGAAGGTGTGTTAGGGTTAGGGTCATCATGAGGTAGCTGTGGGGCAGTGGTGTATGAAGCATCGACCCGCTCGATACCGCTTGCAGTTTTAATCTCATCTGTCATATTTTGCTTTAAATTGTTAATATATATTGCAACTGTTCTAGATTTTCATCATTCTGACATCTATGGATAGACGGACCCTCCCTCATCCATCTCCCCATGTCTGCACCTTCAGTTTTCTCCTGTATCTGTTCAGTTTGACGTTTGATTGACAGTTAAGTGAGTTGTGAGAAGCCGGGCTCACGTTCTCTGTCAGGTCCAGTCTAAACAATGACAGCCTGTGCATTCATGTGTGTATCCATCAGAGTAGGACGTGCTCAGCAAACTAAGACATGGCAACTGTTTTATCATTATACATAAGGAAAACAGCACAGATTTTTGGAGATTTTTTTGACTGATTTAATGCCCTGTACCTGATTTTTTTCCATGTATTTGTGGAAAATTGGTCTTGCTCCAGTACAGATGTATTGTATAAGCAGCTCTTAAGGTCAAAATAAGTCTGCTGCGTGCTATATACATCTGATTACAATGTTTTTTTATTGTCTGATAATCAGGAAGTGTGCGTTAGTATGACAGTTGTTGCTTTACCATGATGGCAAAACTCCACGCTGGTTGTGAAATGAGCTTAAAAACTCATCATGGTGAATAATCAGGATGTTCAGAATGGATGAGGGAAGTGAGGAATAATTTTGGAACCACTACACACTCTTTGGTTAGGGGCCTGTCACCTGTTTGTTTCTTTGGATAGATCATTACTCTACCTGAAATATTCCACAGTATGACATTAAACAGCTCTACCTCACATTTATACAAGTTCCGTAATTTCCGGACTATTGAATGTACCTGAATACAAGCCGCATCAACTACATTTTAACAAAATTTTGAAAACTGTACACATATAGGCCGCACCTGAATATAAGCTGCAGGTGTCCACGTCTTCAAGAACTTTTTCAAGTTTGGGCCGTATGCTTTTATCGCCTCTGAAAGCTTTTGTCGTCTTTTTGCATTGAGTCATTTCGTCACGCTGCTGTCGCCAAAGCCTCACTGTCGACTCACTGATGCCGAGCTCATGTACAGCACTTCTGTTTTCTTTTTCCACAGCCACATCAATCTCCTTTAACTTAAAAGCTGCATCAAAAGCATTTCTTTGTGTATTTTCCATAAGGAGGGTGTGTGCTAGCCTGATTCATCAGCCGGTTTCACTTCGTAGAAACCATCTGACCACACAGCGTTAGAATTCGTTCGCTCGACGGAAGGCAGGTACTTTTTTTCTTTAACCAATCCCTACTATTTGGTCGTGACGTATGTAATGCGCCACTAACAGTGCTACCTGGTATATTCAGTTTTTCCCAAATCCTGTAGGAAGAAGGGCAATAACGTCTTTCCCCTTGATACAATTCATTAAACATTCTCTTTATTCCGGGTTTAAATCCTCAATCTCGGGAATCATTGACAACACTGAATATATGGCTCTTCGATGATTTGCCCGTGCCCGAACTCGCACTTCCGGGGTTTTTGCGAACCGTCTAGTGTATTCTGTTTCCTGACCTATTTGCTGGAAAGAAATTAAATTGAGCAAAGGGACTATGTGGTGCCAACCTGGCTAGGTGTGTACATGAAGCGCAAAATAACAGTTCAAAACACAATGAAACGAGCATCTTCCTCAGCGCATCACCCCCCATCTCTCCACATACTCCACTGCACATGTCTCCTGCAGAAAGAGCCGCTGTCCTGTCTGTATCATGTCAGTGTCTTGTAGGATTTCAGCAGATTTCAGGCTCTCCCGGGGGCAGGGTTAGTTGTGTCGATCAGGTATGAGTGGATGTCCGGCTACTGAAGTTTGCGAATTTTCTTCTTGTCATTTGCACCCCCATCTGCATCAAGATGTATCTCCCTCACTAATGTTAATTTAGCATCATAACTTATTTTCTCACACGGCGATAAACTGTTTTAATGCACTGATAACATCAATAGCAAATGCTGCACCTTCATGTTAACCTATGTTCTAGGTGTTAACCGCACAGACAGCGGCGCTTTCTGCACTCAGGCTGCTTCACATGTATTCTGACTGTGAACGGGGTTGCCTCTCCACAGATCTGACCTGTAACTTGGTCTGATTCGGTCTCCATGAAGCTCGAAAGGTTTTAAGCTATACTGCGAAACATTCCAGACAATTCAATAATATCTCCATGGAGAAAAGCATTTGACGGACCCTTCACCAGAAAAGCTACACAATGCACCTTTAACTCGACTGTATTTGTTTTGATTTCTTCACGGTATTTGAATGATACCTCTGCTTGAACAGCTGTCGAGTGGGTGATCATGGCCGCTAACACAAATTCATTTCTTGGTTGGAAATATACAATGAAGCTCATATATTCCACTGCACATTTTGTTCTCTTCTCCTCTGCTTTGGCTCAAACTGTAATTGCCTTTGGTGATTCATCCAACACAGACTTTTATTGCACATTTCCCTGGAGCCCTCTCATGTACAGTTTCTTTTATAGATGCAGGTCAGATCGAATCATCATAGAGAAGTCTGCATGTTTCTCATTTTCAAACATTTTGTGGTGAGTTTAGTGTGAAATGTACGTGCGGTGCGGAATATTCCATCTGAGTCAGTTATAACAATTTCCCTATAGAATTTTAATAATTTCAATTTAAAGGGCCCATTTTACACTATTTTGTGATCTGTTATAGTGTTGTTTCTGCATCAAAAACACACACTTAACACACAGACCCAGCATGTTTAGGCTGAGTTATTCTCTCCACTAGAAGACACACTGTTCCACCTTGTGTTGTCATACGGTAATACCCAAAGTGCTCCTTTGTGTTTTTAATCTCCATACACCTTCACTAGAATCATTTAGATACTTTCAACTCTGGAATTGCCAAACTCAAAGGTAAAAGTTAGCTGTTAAATTGAACACTACTGCGTGATATCACAAGGTGGAACATTTTGAGCTTTGGAGATGTGGACAGACTAATAAACCAAGATTATTAAATGTGCGAATGAGACAAAACACAATTCCTGGTAAGAAACAATATTCTGACATGGGTTAAAGCTCATAAGAGTCAAATTTGCATAATATAAGTATCTTTAAAGATTGAATATGACATGGCTTTGTGCATCTACACTCTACACAAACAAGAGTAATTGCTACTTTAAAACAAATCATTTCTTGGAGTGTATTCAAGAAATTCAGTCTGGGACACTGATGTAATGCCATACTTTTGAACATTTACACTATTCTAACTTGCTTTTTTACCATTCAAAACAACATATAATATTTTTTTAATTATTACTTGATTCATAATAATAATGACTAACGATACACAATTACTGTACAGTCCGAACTTTCATTCTGAAACTGTTACGATCAGCAGCTATAATGGCGTGTGCCACATGAGGGCGCCGCAGTGTTATGTGTTATGTGTCGTTAACAGAAGTATTAGTGGTACTTGTACATGCGAGTTCACAGTTATTACGCTGCATTTAAAAAGAATCATTGAACATAAAACAAGCCTCGTTCTTCAGCATCAACGTGAACATGACAGAAACCATGGATTTTGCAATGCTGGGCAGGGCGGCCCTAGATGTTTTTGTTTGTAGGATGTGTTTGTTTGTTTTATTGTAGTTTCATTTTGAACACTGGCAAAGGAGATATTCATTTTGTCAACTGAACAAACGTTGGTTGAAAACACTTTGCAGCTCATCCAAGCTGCTTCTGCAGTTCTGATCACACGCTGGTGGACACTTTCTTATATCTGCCTGCAAGGAGGAGCTAATTAAAATGAAACTACTCTGAAACTAACACACCTTGTTACAGTTTCTGTTTGTTAGCTAGGCCTGTTCATCTGTCCTGAGTGAGGGGACATATTAGCATAAAAATTCAGGCTCAAAATGAGAGTTTTCACACCTCTGGCCCTGACATGGTCACCCCTATTGTTCTCTTTGTTTTAGGTTTGAGGATGGTGTTGTAAATAGGAGACAGATGATGTCTGAGGCCTCCATTTCTGTTCAAAGGATTGTCTTTCCTAACAAAAATAGCCTCTTTAAATCCCCTCTCAAAGCAATTCTTTCTCTGGATAAGATCTGTACCGGGAATGGCCCGACGCTTTTAGATGGAGATGTACAGCAGACTGAGGTCCATTATTGCTCTCTCGTCTGTGATGGTACATCCTCTTGACAACAACACAACAAGACCTTTGAACACAGTGTAGTTTGAACACAGTGTAGTTGGAATTTCATTCTTTATAGTTAAGACTGAATGTGCTAAGAAAATAGGGCAAAAATCTTTGGGGGAGCTATGAGGGTGCATTGACCATTCTCAAGCCCCCCCCCCATGCACCACCCCTCACGGTGGGAGGTAGTGGTTTTGGTAATTAGGGTGTGATAGTGTAACAGTGATGCAGATTTATTTCCAGACATCCCTGTGGCTTACTGCTGGGTTGCACAATAAACATCACACAGTATCTGCATAGTTTGTGTACCACACTCCTGTAGAAAATGTTCTTTCACTTAGTTTTTGATCATCAATACTTTTCCTTTCCTCTCTCTCCAGGCGGTCCCGCTCCTCCCTGCACAGCGTAGTGAATAGTCGATCTCCTCTGATGGCATCCCTGCTGCCGTCGCCACAGGAACAGTCTCCACACCTGTTCACGGGACCTAAAGCCACACTGGAACCTCTGCTCATGACTCCGCCCACAGACTCTGAGGAGCTGATGGAGGAGATGTCCCATATGAGGTCAGAGAAATGCTGCTCCCAGTTTTGTCTCATGTTAATTTTTATTTAAAAGGACTGCATACTTTTTTTTTTTTCCATATAATAAAGTAAAACGTGTTTAAAAGCCAGTCTTAAAGTGGAACTAAACTGTGTGTATTGTGTTGTTAATAGTGTTGTCTGTTGTTCCTAATCTTTGTTTGGCTATTTTGCGAACTAGGTACATGTGCAACTTTCTGGTCAAAGAAACTGTCAAAGAAAGTGCTGAAACTAGTGCCCTTTACAATTTCAAGTACTACATGACATCACGTAATACTTTCCTGATTACAGCCACATGTTTCTGATCGCAAACACCAGGGGGCAGAGTTTGAAGTGTTTATACCTGTTTGACCAATCACATTGTTCCTTATACCTCCAGACCCCGTTACTCTGTTCTCTCTTCTTCTCTTTTTCCAGTCCTACAGGTATTACACAATTTAGCAGCTCTATCTGCAATCTGGTTATGGACTTAGTTTAGGTGTTTTGTCCCACCTTAAGGTCAAAACAAGACCACTGTGTGCTGTCTGCATCTAATTACCGTATTTTTTGGACTATAAGTTGCTCTGGAGTATAAGTCGCAACAGCCAAAAATGCACAATGAAGAAAAAAACATATATAAGACGCACTGGACTATAAGTCTAAATCCATTGAATTCTTCATCCTCAGTGTCACTTCTGCGCGACCTCCAGAGATAAACCATAGATCCATGAGGTAAAGGGAGCGCCTCTTTCTCTTCTGTGTAGCTGTTGTCAGACTCAGCATCAGTTTCAGTTAGAATTATTCCGGCCTTTCTGAATCCCAACAGGATGGTTTCAATTGTCACTGAAGTCCAGGCTTTGTTGATTCATCAAGTGACTTCCAGGAAAGTTACATGGCGCACCCTCCTGGTTCCCATGAAGCTGTGTTCTCCATCTCCAATTTCCGCCAATCAATCACAAGTTTCTCACTCACTTCAAACTTTCTTTCTGCTGCTCGATTACCATTTTCGGCTGCATATTTCACTATTTGCAAGTAGACAGTGGCTTTTTCTACAGGAGACATGCGCAGTAGAGTGTGAAATGACAGTGGTACAGGAGTAATAGTAGCAGCAGATACTGACACACAAGTCTAGAGCGCCCTCTAGCGGCTGTCAGTCTGAAAATTTTAATATATAAGTCGCACTGGAGCATAAGTCCCAGGACCACCCAAACCATGAAAAAAGTGCGACTTATCGTCTGAAAAATATGGTATAAAGATTTTTATTGTCCATGAACCAGGAAATAAGGCTGATGAAGGATACTAGGAATGCATTTTTTACTTTTTAAGACAGTGATAGCTACTTTGCAGAAAACACATCTCTTCTGTATGCCAAAACTAACTAATACCAACTCATTTTACCAACTTTTTTTCATTTTTTATCTTCACCTGATTGTTAAAATTGCTTTCACATTTTTTGCAACATGAGTGAGTAATCACTCAGTTGTCCAGGTATGCTTTATATGCTTCATAGCAAAAGAAAAAATGTCAAAAAAAAAAAAAAAAAAAAAAAAACTTTCAACAAATTCAAATCTGAACAAAAGTTTTAAAGTGTAGAGATTCTGCTGCTCATCCAAGTGACTTCTTTAGTCTGGAAGAACACTGCCTTATATTTGTCTGAAGGGAGTAGCTACCTTTACCAATAACTCTTTTGAAACATGTTTTTTTCCTGCACTTAAACTGCATTTTGTTGTGCGCTTATAGTTTTCATCATGTTGTTTCCTCCACTGTGAAATTCCAAGTGGAAAGTTCTTATTTCTTGTTGTTTATTTTCTGTTTTGTGTTTCAGTATCGGGATCCTGGGCCAGCCTCTGCAGCAGTTTGACCCTGTGACTCTGGTTCATGCAGACCAGAGCACAGACACAGAGGGAGACAGAGATACAGCCAGCCATGGTCAGTCTGAACAGTGAAGGATCAACACTAAACTTTATTCACAAAAACATCTATTTTAGAACAGCTATTTGTGACCCTCCAAAGCCTCCACCACAGGCAGATATCATGGAAAATTATTCAGTGTTACAAATCTGAAGTGTACCTCTTGTAGTTACTATGCTGCGAATAGATGGAATAGATTGCTTTTTGAAATATTTTTTTGAAAGAGTCAGTTGCAGGTGGATGTCAACATGATGTTAAAAAGTTCAAAAATGAAATCAATACATCAGCGGAGGACATTTTAGTGTTTAGAAAGAGAGATACTTATGTTGAGGCATAATAAATATTACAACAAACTGAGGTATTCTACATCTAGTCTTTATTTTAGTGAATTTTAAGTTGTTTATTTTATGTTTTAGGATTTTAATAAAAGTGTTACAGTTGGCTATTGTGCTCAGAGCCTATTGAATTAAGTCAAAGCTGAGGTACACAACTTTGTTCTTGTAAATGCTTATCCCCTATAGATTATATTCAAAATGCAGGTAAAACAAAATTCATATTGCTATGGCCCAAGTTTAGATAAAAAAATATAGGCCTATACATTTATCCCATAAAAATGTACCTCTGTGTATATCCCACATAACCCACTGGCTTCTGTTTAATATTATGCAGCTCCTCTCAAACCTGTGATGTGTTTTCTGCTGGTGCACAGACATAGTGCTTCTCTAATTTCTGAGTAATCTTTAATACAGACTACTTCTTAGTTTTTGTTGTTGAATTAAGTAATTAAATTCTGTCTTAGTCCTAGTTTTGACATGTTTTAGTCTTGATTTAGTTCAGGTTTACTTGGACTATTCCTTATTCATCTTATTCATTCTTACATCCTCCTTTAATAAGCCGGAGTTTAGTTTTTTCTCAGTATAGAGATAAAGAAAGTGCTATAAGACACATGTATGCGAAAACTATACCACTGTTAACTGTTAAATTTTGTCAAGGTATTTGGTGACAGAATGCTGAATATCTGCATTAAAATGTATTTGTAACATACCGTATTTTCCGCACCATAGGGCACGCTCATAAGCCTCCAACCCCGTCAAAAAACAACTGCCCCACAATCCAGAGCGCCCTATACACATGTCCACTCAGGTGTCCCAGCACGACTTCAGTAAACTACAAAAGCCGCAACACCGTCAGCGCAGCGAAAAACACCCCCAGAAACACTTATCACTCCACGCAGACAAGGAATGAACCAAAAAAGCGAGTGCAATGTGCCACTTCTAACCACAAGTGAACAACTGAGTCACTGCGAACACGTCAACAATCCAGCGGTCCCAGACAGCACCCTCCCTACGCGCCACAATTTAGAATGTATTTATTTGGAGGATAAGCCCCTTGAGATGTCTTTCCATCTCATTTTCGAGGGGGTCCTTGAACAAAGCCCAGAGTCACCGAGAACGCGCCAAACAAAGTCCCGCTGACCCATCTAACTGCTGTGTTTCGTTTAATGTGCCTTATTGTCCAGTGCGGTTAATATATGAAAAAAGTAAAAAAAAATAGACCATTCTATGACAGTGCGCCTTATAATCCAGACCGTCCTTTGGTGCAGAAAATACGGTATTGCAATTCAAGGTCCAGTTAGAGTACTCTATTTTGAATACTTTGAATACTTTTACATGAAGTTGCATTTAAATTACAGTGTAAAAATGCAGTATAGGATTAAAACAGCTTTGTTTGTTTGACTGTTTTGTACACATTTATTTTTTACTAATTGGAGATGGGAAAATCACACATGCCTCACCACAAGAGCAGTGTTTTTATTTTTCTAACTGTGCAGTTTGAAGTCTCAGTTGTCTGATCAAGCACAACAATGTGTTCCTTTGATTTTAGAAAACTAACTGTATTCTGAATACCACCAAATGAAAAAGAGTAACTGTACCAGAACACACTTACTCGCAAAATGAGTATTCAGAGTTTGTATTTTCAGTACATGTATTCAGTTACTTCCCAACACTGGTTGTGTAACCTAAGGGAAATCTGCATTGTTGATAAAACTCCAGCCTCCAGAGCAGTGGGTTCTTATCTGTTGTGTTTAGAGAACCATGTGGTCATTGTACTTTGATTCAGCTGTATATATGTCTATAGATGAACAGTTTTTAATTACATGCTTGGTAATTGGTCACATCACCCCTGTAAATACAGCCACGCCTGTTATGTTGTACACCAGCCCCGATGAAGACTCAAAGGTTCTTGAAACGCTTTGGTGTGTCCACTAATAACTGCACTGCAAATGAGAGCGCATCTGCCATCCTTCTTTATCTCGACAAGAATCCAAGCCCACTGGTTCTACGCGCATCTGTGTTTGCAAGTTTTGATCCAGTGCAGCACTCCAATACTGCTGTTTTTTCTTCTTTTTTTTTTTTATCTATGTTTGGAGTCATCGCTGCTCTGTAAACAAATACATACTGTACAATATGGATTCCTTATGGACCATACAGTGATGTAGTGCAGTGTTGCCTCAGGTTGCCCGGCTCTGCTCCAGTCCCCAAACCCCATCTCTCTCTCTCTCTCTCTCCAGGTTCGGTACAGTGGCAGACGGAGCTTTGCCTTGGTCCTAATTGGCTGTTGTAATCTGGGACACGAGTCGAGTTAAGCCCCTGTGAGAAGGAGAGAGAGAGAGAGAGAGGGAGGGGGGTGGAGGGAGAGAGAAAGAAAGAGAAACAGGGAGAAAGAGGAGAGAGCAGAGAAAGGGAGAGATAGAGAGAGAAAAAGACAAGAGAGAAGAAGAAGAGGAGCTGTGCGCTAAAGGGAGAGGCTAAGATAAGGGGACTGTTACCAAAATCTAGACATGGGTAAAAGTTATAGACATTTTGGATAAACATTTCAAAATTTAAAAGGTGGGATTTGATTGGCATTAAATCAATAACAACACCATGATCTCATAAATGTATTTTTGTGTAGGAAAACAAATATTGTGATGTTTCCAGACGTCTACAAACTTAAAATTCTGAACTTTTTTATGTATTTTAAATGTTATAATAAATTCCACCACTAGAGGGAGCCTTTGTCTATGAATATCAAAAGGCACCTGGTCCAGTTCAGTTTTGAAGAAGTTTCTTTTCAGCTTTGTATATTTTCACAAGATTATGAAGATAATATTTTACTTTCTAAACCACAAAGCACATCTGATACACAGGCTAGTTCAAACTCTAGACACCTTTATAACCACAAGACCTATTGTTTGTTGTTAAGATTTATTTAACAATGAAATTTGAGTGTATAATGACTTACGAGACAGAGATATGATTTGATACTACGCAGTTGCAGCCAAAACTAAGATCATATACTGTCATAATGGATGATGATTTGTTAATTTGCAAGGTTAGACAGTAACTGTGGTGCAAAGTTCTGGATGGCTTGCAGGGAAATTTCTCCTGTTATACCATATAAAAATAGATAAAAGTGAACAATAATAAAACAAAATAACCCATACTTACAACTTGTTATGTTATATGTTGATATTTTTCAGATTATTATATTTAGTGCACAAAATGACATACTAGTTCAGACACTGGATTTGAAAAGTCTGGTTAATGGGTAACTTAACAACTGATCAAATGTCCAGTATGATAAATTATATAACTATTTACTTACATAAGAACAAATCGATAGAGACAATGTTACTGTAAATGTTTGCGATGTGGAAATTCAAAATGAGTACTGTGTGTTTCACCTGTGCTACGACTAGAGACTAAGCAATTTTCGATACCGATACTGGTATCAAATATCGGTGCCGGTGCATGAAACTTTGCTGGATAGGATATCGGCTCCAAAATATCCTGGTTGGGCCTGAAAAGGAATGTAATTTAGACTCTTTTCTAGGGGTGTAACGATATCCAAGTCTCACGATACGATATTGTCACGGTATGAACGATATTTATTGTGGGAAAGCTCATGATATGGTTTGGAGGCTCACGATTAGAGATGTTACAATATCCAAATCTCTCGGTACGATATTTTCAAGATATACGAGATATTTTGTGGAGGCTAAACAGCTAAAACTGTTAATATGCAACTTTTTCCTCTTAAAATACTTTGCAAAGGATCATGGTCTATGTAGTTCCCTCTGTCTTTTTTTTTTTTTTTTTTAGCTATTGCTGCACCACAATTAAAGCAAAAATAATTGTAATTCGATATATTGTGATGGTCCACGATATTATAGTGAAAACTTTGACGATACAATATCATGATATTTCGTTTATTGTTGCCTTCCTACTATTTATTGATCATAGCTGGTCCAAAACGTCTCAGAATGTTTGAGCTTTTAATACAAAGTCGTTCTGTTGTTGTAAGTAAAAGCTACATCACATATTTTGTCGTACAACAGTTTTTGTTTTTGGGAAAAAGAAAGTGTATCTTTCTTTCTGTATCTGCACTGGTATTGGTTAATATCGGATAATAAAGTACTGAAATCTCTACCAGAACTAAAGAATATGGAACGGTATAGCCATGACCAAAGTTTTATCAATGCTGCAATCATTTAAAGGTGCAGTACGTAACTTTTCTGGTGGTGAGGCAGCCACCTGCTTGTGTCCATGGAGTTGTAATAGCTTTGCCTAGAATGTTCCACAGCATGGGATTAAGTTTACGGAGACAAGCAGGCAGCAATCAGGCCAAGTTACAGATCAGCTCTGTGGAAAGGCGATCCACTGAAAGAATTTTTGAGCGATAAAAACACCTGTAATTAAAATAACAAAACAAAACAGATAAGTTTCATGCCAGAGTAGAACATTTAAACGGCCATTTCCCGTTTACGTGACTTAAACTGCGATGCCGGTCTGAACCAGGACTAAACCAGTTCTAAACCAGAACTGAACTAGGACTAAACCAGGTCTCATTGTTGGTCTCTGGTTCAGGTCTGAATCCTGGTCTGGTCCCAGTCTGGTTCGGGTTTCCTGATGACCTGACAGTCTATGTGGGCGCACGTCCGGACCAGTCCCGACACTCCTGGTTCAGTCCTGGTTTAGTCCTGGTTCAGTTCTGGTTTAGGACTGAGATTGGGACCGGACCGGGACTGAGACCGGGACTGAGACCGGGACTGAGACTAGGACTGAGACTGGTTTAGACCTGGTTTAGTCCAGGTTTAGTCCTGGTTTAGGACTGAGATTGGGACCGGACCAGGACCGGGTCTGAGACTGGGACTAAGACTAGGACTGAGACTGGTTTAGACCTGGTTTAGAGCTGGTTTAGAGCTGGTTTACACCTGTTTTAGTCCTGGTTAAGTTCGGCATTGCAGTTTAAGTCACGTAAACAAGAAACATCCTTTTTTCCATTTTTTCCATTCATTTAAACACAAAATCGAAAACTGGAAAAATGAATTGTTATCTGTTTTTACATTTTGGTTTTGGAGACAAAGAATGAAGAAAACTAATGTTTTTTTCATTTTCTTATTTTTGGTTTTATATTGAAAAACGAATGAACGAATGATACACGGAATACAAAGCAACAACTTCTCTTGGAAACCACGCAGACGGACCTGAAAAGTTCCACAGTGCGCCTTTAAGAAAACAGTCAAACGCTTTTAATTCCAAATAAAATATCTTCGTTCTGTATCTATTAAACCAAATAGTTAAAAATCAAAACACGCTGTGGGGGGCGTACCCGTGCCCCCCCTGAACCTGCGCGGCGCTCCTTTTGCCCTTTCGTCGCTGAGAGTCTCGTGGCCGGTCGCGTCTCCACTTCGTCCTGTTTATTCCGTGCGCGCGCATTGCTTTGGCGAACGAGAGCGAACGGCGCACGCACGGACGGCGAGCGGATCGAGATCGCGCTGCGAAGCCAGACGAGAGAAGAGAAGGACTACCAGACCGTGCGCACAAACACTTCGCTCTTTCCTGCAGGTTCGACCGAAAGCGCCGCGCGAGAGGGGGGAGGAATAGGCAACACGTATCCAAGTGGGACCCTTTTTACTCCAGCGAGAGACGAGCGTGCGGTTGGCAGACAGGAGTTGGAGCGAAGAGGGAGCTCACAGATTTGGGAAGGCGAGACGAAGATAAAACGGGACATATAAAGAAAGACGCGGCGCGCTTTGATACGGGAAATATGCAGAGCGTGTGGATAATTTTGACGCTCGGCTTGGCGGTGGTCCTGTCCAGCGAAAGGGTGAGTTGTTACAAACTTACGAGGGGCTTAGCAGTGGGGGGAGAAGTCTACTTGTGAGTGACCTCGCTTCTGCTGCTTGGCTTCTGTTTTTAAGCAAATATTCGAACCTATCTCGCTGTTTTACGCGTGATTTGACGCTTTCCCGTGACTGTCATTTCGTGCTGTGGACAATAAAGATGATTAAACGTGCAGGTTTAACACTACGGTGGAAGTAGTAGCTCACACTGGCTGCAAATAACCATTGGATCTTACTGTGACAAGCGAGCCCTGTAGCTATACTTTACCCAACACGACTGGCAGCGTAATTTGTAACCCTATAATAATAATAGTAGGCTACGACATGGCTGATTTAATATCCACAATTACTTTCCATGTTTGTATGTGTTAGAATAGCGCAATATAATTAGGCTACAGATGGCAGTGTTGGGAATACATCTATAACTGGTCTTTAGTGTAATGTTCCAAACTAGGACTTTAGTTTAGGCTATAAATTGAATGTTACTTACACCTTCAGGAGTTTTTGTGTCAATCCAAAGCTCATATAACTTGAAAATGTTACGTCAAGATTGGAAATGACATCTGGTTTTAAGCTTAGGTCCTGTTCTAACTTTGTATTACGGTAATATTCGTGGTATAGAGTTGTTGGCATCCAATCAGTATGCACAAAGTATAAGCTACAGTTAGTTTGTTAAAGGGCACATATTACGCTATTTTCCAATCTGTGTTAGAATGTTGTTTCCTCATCAAAAACATACCCAGAGTTGTGTTTTGTTTCATTCACTCTAGGGTTGGGATCATTAAGAAGTTGCCAATACAATACATAGGCCACGATACGATACATGTCTCGATACAGTTCACTTTCGATTTGATTCGATATATTTAAAAATGATTCGATACAATTCAATAAAAAATAAAGGCCAAATCATGGCTTTGATACTAAAAGTCTTTGTTAAACCACTTCTTGAGCAAAGTTAATATGAAAAACGCCCATTTTAATAATCAAAATAGTGAAAATGTCAAATGTACTGCATAAATTAGTTTCCTTCCACTAAACAAGCAACAAAACTATAGCGCTGTAACAAAATAATTTAATAAAATATACCAAAAAATACTCTTGGCGATATATCGATACTGTATCATCGCATTAAACAATTCAGTATATCGGTATTTCAATATTTTTGCACACCCCTAATTCACACATGTAAATTATGGCTGAGTTCTTCTCTGAAATGGAAAACGCTCTGTTCCACCTTGTGATGACATGTGGTAATGCAGGAAGTGCTTCAGTGTGTTTTTAAACTCCATACACCTTCGTTAGAATCACTTCAGATAATATCTATTGTTTTTTGAATAGAAAGAAGCATTTTATGGAGTTAAATTATTCCCTGATTGTGGGAAAGATGGACTGGCGTAGGTAGTGTTGTGTTTTAGTTTTTCCCCGAGCGATGCAGAAAAGAGGGAGCCACTGTTTGTGTGAATGTTCATGTATGTTAGTTAGTATCTCTACTAAGGATGTAACAGTAACTGAAATATTGTCAGTTCTCACAATAATATCATGGACCATCACAATATATTGAGTTACAAGTCTCTTTGCTTAAATTAAGAGTTATGGTGCAACAATAGCTAAAAAAAGACAGAGGGAACTACATAGACCAGGGGTGGGCAAAGTACGGCCCAGGGGCCATATGCGGCCTTTAAAAGTAATAATAATAATAGTAAGTAATAATAATAAAGTCATTTCAGTAAATCGTAAATATTGTGGGACTTGAAAGACAGATATTTTGTTGTAATGCTTTGTATGATGATTTTCATTTTTCATTTTGATTTTCACCATGATCCTTTGCTCCATTTCAGTGCAGACTTCATGAAGAAATAACAGTTCTAAGCACTTTTAAGTCTTAGTTCTTTGGATTAATTCTTGTCAAGGCCTTTTAAGAAGAAAACGTAGCATATCATAGTTTTGTAAGCCTCCACAAACACACATAAATATCATACCGTGAGATGTATATCATGAAAATATCGTATGGAGAGATTTCGATATTGTTACATCCCTAATTTATTATTTATTTATTTATTTTATTTATTTGAGACAGGGACAGCGCCCAATTAATCGTGAGCCTCTCCACCATATCGTGAGCTTTCCCATGATATTGCAATAAATATCGTGCCGTGAGGTTCATACCGTGACGATATCGTATCGTGAGACTTGGATATCGTTACACCCCTAATCTCTACTGAACTAAAGATAAAATGTAGCGCTGTTAACTTGAAAGCTACCACTACATGACATCACAAGGTTGAACAGTGCACTTTGAGCTTTGGAGATGCAATAATAAAGGATTCTCAAACATGTATAAGTAAAACAAAATCCAACTTTGAAGAGGTAACAACATTATAACTTGACTTAAAGCTCATAAGAATCAATTTTGTTTAATATAGGAGCTTTAAAGGTTGTATAGAGGATTTTTTTAAGGGAAGAGAAATACAGCGACAGTCCTTGTGCACATTCAGAATGACTGTTGAAGTGACCTGTCTAGAAGTAATTCAGCGACTGACGCGTCAGTTTTTAGACCCTTCGTCTGTTTCAGTCGCGCCATCGCTGGATGAGATCTCCAAGAATCACCTCAGTTTGGCTTTGCTCCTTTTCCTCTTCTCTTCTTCTTTCAGCGACGTCAAAAATGGACTTTCCTTTGCGGTGAACCGGTCGTGGATTCTCGTCCGCCGTCGCGACAAACTTTGTGCGAAATGCGAGGAAGCGACAGTTCGAAAAAGCCTCTAAGAACCGCTGCGTAAACCACGTAATCCCCGCGCTCCGATGAGTCAGTTATACTAGGGAGTTTGATTGACAACTTAACAGCCAATAGAAAATGAGGGAGCCTCGTTTTCTATTGGCTGATGTTTATCTGGCCTCACTACGTCCAAAGTTGATAGATTTTCGTTCTTTTTTTTTTTGGTCATCATAATTACAAAGCTGCTGCGTCTCTGTAATGGTATTTTAATCTTTCACTGACAGTTTGAAACAAAAAAAATCTTCCATACAACCTTTAAACTAAGTAAATAAGCCATAATTGTTTAGAATCAGTCAGTGTACTTTGTGTTACCTGCATTGAAATTCATAGGGGTAATCCTTAATTCATTTTGTTTGATTAATTGCTTGATAGTGTCGTAGTTGACCAAAAAATTCATCTGCCAACTACTTATTTTTTCATGATTAAAAGGATTCGTATGCAAAAATGAGCGATCTGGAGTTAGTGGGAGGTTTAAATCTGTTTTGTTACTTCTCAAAACAGTTTACCAGTACTTTTCTTTAGTTGACTACACCGCTAAAAATGTGCCTCCTCTGCTAATCTGACATATTACGACACAACTACAGATGTTCTCCAATAAACACTGCCCTATGAAACAAATGATGATTTATTAGACAGCTGCACCTATAACATAAAACAGATATAAGTGTTCGTCCAGATATCAGCTCTCTCTTGCTCTCTCTGCTCCTCACTCTCCTTGTAAAAGCCTTTTCCTGTGTACGATCTGTAGTCTCAGCTGCCTGCCTCCTTCTCCCCTGTCCGCACCTACGTCGTAACCATCTCCCAGAAAATTGGCCCCGGCTTGTTGGACTGACACATTTGGACTCCCCGGTGATTGTAGCGCCCCCTGCCTGGTGTTTCTCCGTGTGGGTTGCCTCTTTCTCTGCGGTGATTAGTCCAATTAGCTGAATCAGACGCTCTAGTTCAATGAATCACACAAGGGTTTTGCAGATTTCAAGTGTTTTAGGTGGAGAAAGCACTTCGTATTTATACCGTCATTAGGCTTTGAAGTTAAAGCATTCTGTAACTTTTCGGATGGAGGGTTCGTCAAGTGCTTTTGTTCGTGGAGATGTTATTGCTTTGTCTTGAATGTTTCACAGTATGGCATTAAACTGTTCTATGTTCATGGAGACCAAACCAGACCAAGTTACATGTTTGTCAAGGTAATTCTGAGCAATGAAAGTACCTTAAAGTGAATACATGTAAGATACGTTGAGTGCTACACTGCGGAACATTCCAGGCACATCAATATTACCTCCAAGTGGTATACAAAGCAGGCTTATTATGCAGAGCCTTTAACCAGTTCTCATTTACGCACTTGAAGTTACATTGGAGTGATTTGTGCATGCTTGAGTAATCTTTAATCGCTTATTTTGAAGATGCCATTTTGCCGATCAACCCGTCACCGCCACCACCAGCAGCAAACGCCCACTGCTCTGTACAAAATCAACTTGTCAGAGCCTTTAACAAGTTCTCATTTACCCACTTGAAGTTGCGTTGGAGTGATTCTTGGATGCTTGAGTAATCTTTCAATGCTTATTTTGAAGATGCCATTTTTCCGATCCACCCGTTTTTACCACCCACTGCTCTGTACTTTGTTCTCCAATTTGATTTTGTTTTCTTAATCGGTGATACACGTAAGATTTGTGTTGTCATTTTGGTACAAATGGAAAAAAAAATAAATAAATCCTCTGCTTGTTGGTGTGATCTGTAGCTGTCCGTCGAAAGTGCCGCCAGCTCCAAAGCTCTCTGTTGTGATGACGTTTATGCCAATGTCAGCTCCATTTGGACACTTCAATTTTCTAATGTGGAAGTCAGTTTTTTTTTTTCCCATTAAGTCGTTTTATGATTTAAAATGTCCAAATAATAACATAACGCTTGAGATACTATGGCAGACACAAGCACAGTAGGTCTGCTTTAAAGCCGGGTGTACACTGTACGATTTTTAGCCCTTTTTGAGCCGATTTTTCACTCGTGCGACAGTTTTTGGGATCAGACCGACTTCTTTTTTTTGTTTAATCGTGTGTCGTGCTTTGTGTAGTATATATTGAGTAACGAGAACCAATTAATACCTCACGACCAGCTCCCGATCGGCAGTCGCTGGTTGAAGTAGTTCCCCGAGCTGTGAACTTTTAAACCCTGCGATTTGGTCGTACAGTTTGAGCTGGAGCTGAGTGAAACAATAAAAAATAT